AACATACTGATACACAAAAAAAACTGTCCAACCAGAATTCTTTGGGTAAATAGGAACTAATAATTTAAAATTTTATTCCAAAATTACGCAGATTAACAAATCATTTGAAGAATATAAAAAGTTAAGTAAAGGTACTTACAAATGTCTGTTCGCACAGAAATCACAAACCAGTCAGTGAATTTCATTGGTTTAAACTAGATTTCTGACTGTTTTCCACCAATGAAATTCGCTCTAATTGATAAATAGAAATCAAAAACTTCAACATAGGTCAGAAAATGACCAGTTCGTAAGCAGCTAATAACTTCTTGTTAGGTCTGTTCTCACAGGAGTCTTTGACAGTTGGCAACCTGTCAGGAACAATCGCTCAGCTAAGTTACCAATTTATATTGGAACGACAGCATTGAAAACATGTATGTGCAATGCTTACTGACAGTTTGCAAATTATTAGAACAGACCTGTTGGCTGTTACCTCTAACAAAATCATGAAATTCTTTGCAAGTAAGAGATTAATTAATCTTTATTTGCAGTTCTGCCTTGATGTGTTCAATACACAATAGAAAATACAAGTTGCAAAATGATCCAATTTGATAGAGTTCTCCATTAAGTTAAAAATTAAGTACGATAGGCGTCCTGCAATAGGTTGTTACAGGACGCTGAACAATGAACCCCAAATGGTGGACGTCCACCGAAATGCAGGACGGTTGGCAACCCTAAACTAAGCACCTAATTCACAAATGTGCCAATTTGTACTTTACTGTTCACCTAAAAGTCAGGCTATTCCATTCTAGGGTTATCCTTTATGTTAATTTAGTGCAAATAGAATTTATCATGGGAAGCACTTTATTAAAAATTCTGAAATTATGAACAGAGCTGTGGGAGAGCTGTAGCATGCAGTGATTGTAGATGGTTGTGCGTATCAGTGCTCTGGTATCCTTTGAGTTTTTTTCGAGTATATGGTGAAATTTAATTGTGAAATTTGGTGTCATAATACGCAGTTCGGTAGCGGCTATCGGTTGATGACGCTTCATAAGCAAATTTATCTGAATTACGGTGATTTCATTATAATTTGATAAAGCGCGCTGACGATCATCAGTGCAGTGTTGCCAACTTGGTTGCCAATAATGCCGAATGAAATCGAAAAATGCAACATATGCAACAAAAATGTTGGCGAAAGTCAACAAGGTTTGCTATGTGAAACATGCAATATCTGGAAACATAGAGAATGTATCTCTATGACTCAAAGAACATATGTGCAGTTGAGCAAGTCAAACGAGGCATGGAACTGCAACGAGTGTAAGCAGCAAAATCAACAAAGTGGAACAACCAAAGATGTTTCCTTAGTTGATATTATGGCGAAACTTAACGACATGGAGAGAAAATATGATAAAGTGTTTGAGAAACTCAGGGAGCAGGAGAAAATAAATAATGAATTACGAAACGAATTGAAAGAAATCAAACAGGTTCTAAACAAGAGAGAACAAAAGGATCTACTGAAAAATATTATGATGGGGTATTCCCCTTCAACAAAATGAAAATTTGAAAGGAGTTGTGAAAAAGATTGGGGAACACCTGGATGCTCCAATCAGTGGAAACTTTACAGCATTTCGCTTGGGAGAAGACAGAAAGACTTGTCCACCTGTAAAAGTTGTGTTCGACGAACAAACGGATAAGGATATGATTGTGAAGTCTAAGAAAAAGTTCAATTTAGAGAGTAAATCCCTTGGATATGCCCAAAACAATAAAATATTTATCAATTAGGACTTAACAAAAACTAATTTAAAGCTTATGTCCTCAGCACGAATATTCAAGAATGATAACAATTACAAGTATCTGTGGCTTAGTAGTGGAAATATCCTCTTACACAAAGATGAAAACTCGAAAGTCATTGTAATTGAAGATGAAGACCAGATACGTGGTTTGCAGGCATAACGGGCAGATAATCTAAATAAAATAAAAGTTATATATATGAATGTGCAAAGCCTTAGGAATAAGATAGACCTAATACAATGTTTTGTGAGCAATGGCAGATGTGATATCCTGGCGCTAACAGAAACCTGGCTCAGTAATAATGAAACACTACTCTATGACATCCCAGGGTTCAATGTAGTCCATTGTTGCAGAGAGGGCAGGGGAGGAGGAGTCTCTTTCTATGTGAGGGAGGCTCTGAAGTTTGGAGTATTGGGAAGTTCCGAAACTACTCAGGTAATTGATTGGCTGTGCATTAGTCTGAATGATAATGACTTGAAATTGACTGTTTTATATAAGCCTCCATCATATGGTAATATTGCCTTCTTCTCAGATCTTGAAACTATTCTTTTGAAATATCAGAAAAAACATATCTTGGTTGGCGATATAAATATTAACTTACTAGATAATACCAATACTGTAAGAGAATATAGAAATATGTTATTGTCAAATAATTTTAGAATAAATAATACTATTTCCTTGGAAAATGCCACTAGGGTAACTACTAAGTCCACAAGTTTAATTGATCATGTCATATCTAGCTACCATACTACCCTGATAAAGAATATTAAAATTGAAAGTAACTCACTCTCTGATCATAATCGCCTCACATTTCAAATCTGTGATATTGTGAAAATGCATAACCCGTTAATTAATAGAACCATTAATTTCATTGACCATAGAAAATGTACGTCTTTATTTAGGTCAAGAAAGGATTGTGTAGATATTGCAACATTTAGGGACTTAATTGAATTAATTAATCAGTGTAAAAAGGATGCTCAATATTCCAAAACTATAAGAATAAGAGAAAACAATAATTGGGTTAACCAGGAAATTATTGAACTCATGCAACAGCGCGATAAAATTTATAAAAGAAAGGTAAACTGGCCTGGAAATGAACAGCTTTTTTTAGAATTTAAAAAATTAAAAAACCTGATAAACAACAAAATAAAAGCGGCAAAAAATCAATATTTTGGTGCAGAGTGGAATAAAGCAGGTGGCAATGTGAGAAAGCAATGGCAATTTATTAACAATTTTTTTAGTAAACAACCTGTAAACAATGACATTGAATATCTTTTAATCGAAGGTGAACGAACCGAAGATGGTAAAAAGATAGTAAATAAACTAATCTATTATTTTGCTAAGGTAGGCGGGAACATAGATAGAGACCTAAATGAAGAAATATTTAATATGTATGAGGATGGTGAGGTTGTAATTGATGAGGTGGAAAATGATAATGATAACAGTGTATATCGTTTGAGCCCCACTAATGTGAATGAGGTCAGTGAAATTATATCGGAACTTCGGAAAAATTCTGCTCCAGGTTTTGATGGAGTAACTACTATCGATTTACATAATTTAAAAGATTATATTCTCGAGATTCTTACAAATTTAATAAATACAGTTTTTCTGAGCGGTATATTCCCGCCTGAGCTGAAAGTTAGTAAAATCAGTCCTATATTCAAGAGTGGTGAAAAAAATCAAATGAATAATTATAGACCAATTTCAGTTTTGAGTATATTTTCTAAAATTATTGAAAAAATTGTTAAAATAAGGATGGTTTTTTTCATTAAATCTAACTTGGCGATAGACCCGTTCCAGTATGGTTTCATTGAAAAGAGCAGCACACTGTCTGCAACTTTTGACTTTGTAAATTATATATCAAAAAACTTAGATGAAAAAAATGTTGTTGTAGCAGTATTCGTAGACCTAAAGAAGGCTTTTGATTTTGTCTCGCTGGATAAACTCCTAAATAAGTTGAACAATTTGGGATTTCGTGGTAATTTTCTCAATATTATTAAGACTTTTTTAGTAAACAGAGAACAGTTTGTTGTGTCCAATGGGTATTCTAGTGATACTTTGACCAACAGTTATGGTGTACCCGAGGGATCTGTTCTGGGGCCACTTTTATACTCTATATATGTCCTAAACTTGAAAATTTCAAATATACAAGCACCTTATTTCACATTTGCCGACGACACTGCTTTAGTCTATTCTGATTCAAATGAAAACCGGTTGGTGGGAGAAATCAATGCAGATCTGGAAAGATATCGTGTGTGGCTTTATGGCAATAAATTAAAAATAAATATCGATAAAACTATTTTAAAAATAACGTCAATGATACCATACATCTATAGATGCCGAAACTATCTTTCTAATAAGACCAAATTAAGTGTTTACAATAGTTATTTCTTATCCCATATAAGATATTTAATACCTATTTGGGGAACTTGTTGTACTACAACACTCAGAGAAATTCAAATTAAACAGAATAAAGTGTTAAAAGTTTTATTTAATTATGATATTCTATATAATATGGAATTATTATATAGGGAACTTGGAGTATATGGAATAGAAATTATATTAAAGTCTGAACAGAGTAAATTAATGTATAAAATATTGAAAAATCTTCAGAAATGTAATTTTGAAATCGCGCATGTTGATGAGGTTCACAACTACAACACAAGATCAGAGGGTTATGTATATATTTCAAGCGCCAGGATAAACATAGGACTAAACTGTCCTCTTAACTCGGCATCGAGAACATATAATAGTCTACCAAGTGAGATAAAAAATTAAAGTAGCTTAAATATATTTAAAAGATCATTAAGTCTGTTTTTGGCTGATAATTAGTTATATTTATATCTGGCAGATAATAATTATTTAATGCAAAAGTTGACAGTTGAGTATTGGATTGTAGCTTCCACTTGAGTATACTTCAAAACTTGTTAGAAGCTAAGTTTTTATTTTTATTTTTAGATTTTAGGTGGGTTTTTGTTTTGTTTTTTTTCTTCCTTTCTTATGGCATATAAATAATGATTGTATTTGTCGGATTGTAGATCATTGAATTGTAACTTCCACTACATCACTGTAATTTTTTAAAAAAATTTGTTACCTTGATACCAGTGTTCCACACTGTTTTAGGTATAGAGCTATTAAGATAATATAAATTGTATACTTGTTGTCAATAAACGATTTTCAAAAAAAAGAATGCTAAATTACATTGGAGTTATATGTTTTTTTTCTTCTTTCAGTATGAACTTTTGTTTTGCATAGAAGATAGAACAGATCCTTCATTAGAAATAGTGAATAACTTAATTGCCAAGTATCCAAAAGTCCAAGCCAGTGTATTTATTGGGGGTTCATCAGTGGGTGTCAACCCAAAAATTAACAACATGCATAGGGCCTTCGAAGAATCAGTCCACGATTTTATTTTGATCTCAGATAGTGGAATACGCAGTAAGTACAATGAAAATTTTAATTTACAGCTTATTTGTGTTAACTTATTAGTCATTATGCTAAACCTGTTAATTGATCTCCTTTTCATAATTTGTTTATGCATGTTAGCAATTCCAAGGTCTTGGAAAAGGCCCGATATATTATGTTTGCAATTGCATCTAAATTAATAAATAAATTGATATGAAGTTTCTTTGAATTCTTCATCCTCCAAAATAATAGACAAACTTGTATTTGGTATTTTGACGCTTTGCATAGTTAAGGAGCGGGAAATTACAATTTAGTGATTATCTTTAATGCCAATGTTTCATTTGTGATTTAAAAAAAAATTATCTGATGCTCATAAATATGAACAATAATACCTATTTTAATATATAATTTAACAGGATTAAAAAAAGGAATATCAAATTTGCCTGCGAATCCTAATTAAGTTATAGATAGTAACAACAGCAAATGGAAAACAAACTGCAATTAAATAAACCCTTAATGAATATTTCCAAGGTTCTTAAGTTGCTACTGTTTGTGCTGTGGGAACAATAAGATTATTGTTGAGTTTATTTTAACAAAGAGATGGGATATTGGAGCTACGATTTTTTTCAATGACGACACACCTAGGTATCATCTCATATTATGTTTGAAAATGACTTTGTATTTGAAAAAGTCTTAATAAGGGATCAAAACATTGCTGCGCAAAAAAATACGTCTTTGATTTCGCATTCCTAATTCCCATGAAAATCAGATCTTATCACACAGCTAAAACAATGAGGAGTTATAGTTTCAAGAATGTTCTTTATTATTTTTATAGTGAAAGAGGATACACTCCAAGATATGGCTAGTCATATGTGTGATAGAACAGGCATTGTCCATCAAATGCCTTTCACTAGCGATGGAAATGGTTTTGCAGCTACATTAGAAAAAGTATGTTCTTTCTACATGCTAGATATCTTATTAAAATATTTTTTTTCTGTTCTAGATTTACTTTGGCACAGCGCAGTCAAGGATGTATTTAGCAGCAGATTTTTTCCGAATCAATTGTCATACTGGCATGTCGACGTTGATACGCAAATGTGTCTTAGAACAGGAGGGTGGTCTCAAGAGTTTTGGCTGTTATCTCGCAGAAGACTTTTTTATATCCAAACATTTTATAGATAGAGGATGGAGGACGACTATTAGTAGTCAGCCGGCCATGCAAAATTCTGGTATTTGTGATGTGCGAAGTTTTCAAGCTCGTCTTAGCAGGTAAATTTATTTCAGAATATTGTATCTATTGATAACAGGAATTTCCTGTGCGATTTCACCTAGTTCGACTTTGTTTGCGTGATTCACCTAATAAATATAAATAAAATTTCATTGTCACAATAATTATAGAGCTTTACATGACGTTATTAATTAAACACAGGATTGAAACTGATAGGTTCAAAAAAGTCAACTTTATGGCCTCCCAAGTATATTTATCTTAGATAACTGCAAAAGTAGGTTTATCTCGGCAATAATATTGAATGTTAGGTATATGTTTTCATAGTTTTATGTGCTGTACTATTTGTTGAATTTTCTGAAATCGGTTGTGTAAGGGAAAAATACTCTCACAGGAGTGGCATAGAGAGTAAACATTATTTGTCATATTACGTCAATTACCTTTATTACTGTGCCAAATAAATTTTTATGATGGAGTAATATAAGTTATTATTAGTAGAAAAATAGTTGATTCATTTAGAGGAGAATTTGTTATTTATTGCACCAATATATTATCTTAGTTTTAATTTTAATATACAGGGTGTTCGTAAATATCATGTACAAACGGAAGGTGGCGATCCTTTGGATTATTTTATGACTAAAATTTCTAATAAACATAGGTCCGCTTCGTTACCGATATACAGGGTGTTGAAATTTTAATGTATTTACATTGAAAATTAGCAACAATATGGCGGCGAGAGGTGTCTTACTTTTAGATTCCTATTAAAAATTACCAAGAATATGGCTGCGGGACCTCTATTGTCGTTACTGTAGGTGGAAAAGGTTTATTGAGTCACTTTAGTTTCATCTAGCTAATTACAGAGATTTGTTTTTTAATTTTTTTCTCGATAAGGGTCGGTGATACGAAAAAACTACAAGAGAACAAAAAGTTTCTAAATAAGGTAGAAAAATTATTTTGTGTCTTAGAATCGACCAGCGGCGCACTGCGAAAAAGTTCAGGGGCAGAAAAGGGAGCATGACCCCTGAAAAAACATCACCCTGTAGATTCTGGCAAACGTTTGACATGTGCAATCATTCAGCTCCTATTGCGTAACCTATATTTCAAATTTGAGCTAAATCCCTCAAAAATTGAGGGAGCTATAAAGAGAAAACTGAAAAAATATTAAAATTTCAACACCCTGTAGATCGGTAACGACGCGTTTGCGGACCTATGTTCATTAGAAATTTTAGTCATGAAATAAGCCAAAGAATCACCCCCTTTCGTTTGTACATGATATTTAGGAACGCCCTGTATATTATAATTAGATGGTGGTCTTAATTAGTTAATGAATCATTTTATCTCTGAAGTTTATAGGTCAATTTCAAATACCTGATGATGAGCGATACCAATATCTTTTTGATATCAGTTATTTTGAAGCGTGACGAGATCACAACTAGCAGTACGTTTTCATTCATGGGATCAAAAAATTTCCATAAATCACTAGTTTTTTTTTCTTGCCGTTCATTATGAAATCTGCACAATAACTAAACCATATACTAAGGCCCGGTTTATTCATCTTTAGATAAATTTGCTGCCTATTATCTGCAAGATAACTTTACCGTTCTATTGGACGGCTGATGATTGGCCGACCAATAGGATAAGAGATTGTGTTTTAATCCGTCAGATTGCATACCTGACAGTTTATTCGAAGGTGAATAAACTGGCCCTTATACCAACAACAACTGAAATTCGGTTTTTATGTTTGAAACAAAATAAAAAGGCAGGATCTCTCATGCTACCCTCGTTTTTCTAATGGCGGTAAACGAAATTCAAACATAAGCTCTGTTACATTGAATGCTGTGATTATGTGACGCTTTTTATCGGACAAATACCTATGTGATATATTTTAACGTTTGTTCGTTTCCAACAAACTGTCTCCCTGTAATATTCACCAGATCTGTAGTGAATTTTCAGTATTTTATTATACTCATAGTTTTGACTTCACAGCTGTCTAAAAAATAACATCCATAAGTTTGACAGTAAAAAAAATGGCTTTAAATTTGAAATCTGAATCTGAATACAGTAGATTACCTAAAAAAATTGAGTGAGCTAGTCTATATTCAAAATATTTTTTGGATATTCGCTAGAATCTTTCTAATATGTAGAGGGCAAAACAGGTGCGTAGAATCCCTAACAGTTTCTTTGTGATCGTTTACATATTAATTTTAATTATTGATGTAGTTCTAGATAATCAATTAATCATAATCAATCAACAAATAATGTATTATACGTTACACGGCCTTGCCAATTGTAGTTCCTTATCCTTTATTCTAAGGTATTTCTTGAAAACTACTTCTAGTTCTGGCACTAGTTTTAATGTGAACAGATCAGTTGAGTTATCGCATGGATCTGGGTAGAAATGACCAATAAACAAGTTATCCCACAATTTTTGATAAAATTTCCAATTTTATTTTTCAAGTTACCACAAATATTGTCAGAATTTGAATCAATGTCTGGGAAGTCACCTAATGATAACAAACTTATCTTTCGTCTGCGTTTATGGGAGAAATTATCCATATTTGAAGATGAGTAAACTCTTACCTTGCAGAAGTTATCTTAATGCATAAAGTTATCTTAATTACAAACCTGACTCATAGTCCAAGAAACGGGGCTCTGAAAAGAGGGTTTACCTCAACATAATCGGAAGTTTACATTTTTTGAGGGGGATCGGTCCATTTTCATGTGCTTAATAACATATTAAGTTTGCGACCTTGTACTTCCATAGGGTTTTTAGTTAGGGGTGGTTTTTAGGGGTAATTTGCGGTTTATGGGGAACGCTGCTCAAAGGGATGGTCCAATAGCAAAAAGTCTCAAATGATTGTTCTAGCTGAAGTTTTTTGCTATAAAAAACTCAGCGACAGCACCCCTCTATCTTCTATAGTTTTTTTCTGCAGTGTCTTGAATAGTAGCATGTTTTTATTCAAGGTCACTGAATCAACGTTTTGCCTGTTCCCGTGCATTTGATGCAACAGCAGCCGAATGCATAATCCGATTTCAATTTTTCAAACACCACATTATTGCTAATGAAATGCACTCTCCAATGCTTTTTTTTCGAATTTTTCTGCTTGAAAATTAAGCGAGCACGGACTTGCCTAATGTGCGAGGAAGTTGTAAATTACATCGAAAACTACCCCTTTTTTTCATTCACTGTAATTTCTAAACGGGGCCAAATATTGGGTGACAGTTTTCAACAATCGGCAGCCCATTTATTCCTCTCATAATGCCCCAGCGGGTTTTTTTTTTCGTTAATTACTCAATGACTTATTGGCCTGAACACGTCGCGCAGAATTTTTCAAAAAGTCAAAAAAAATTAAAAGTGTCGCACAGCGCTGAAAGGACCACGCACAAAACTTATGGAAAAGTGGTTCCAGTCAAATACAATAAAATTTTAGTATGATATAGTTCATGACCTCTTGATCAAATTTCATCATTGCCACAAAAAAATCGTTCGAGCCGTTTTCGAGTTATAGCCTCTTCAAGATGGCTGAACAAAAACAAATTAAAGACTGAATAAATTCTCACATTTCATTGATATTTTATGATAATCGATAAAATATCATAAAAATAGTTTTTAATTATTATAATCAACATAAATGGTGCTGCAGTTTGTCAAATATTAAACAGTGTTGTATTATTATATCCTTTTCGACCAACAGTCAGACAAAATGCTCCATATACACGTCCCTGCAAAATACAACTTTGACATAATCTGATATTTTGTACTTGTTTTTTTTTTTGTGAAATAACTAAATACTATACTAAAATTAATGATGAGTATATTGGGTGTCGAAATTCGAAACCTTATACAGGGTGAGTTACTAAGCGCGCGGTGGTCCATATCTCCTATACTAACGGAGATCGAAGAAAAAATTAAATACAAAACTTGTTGAATTTAACCGAAGATTAATAATTTAGGCGGAATTTTTAATCATGGATTAAATTCAAGGTTGGTGTCAAATGATAGTTTATGAAAAACTAAGATAGGAATGTAAAATCCGTTTTTTTTGTAAAATTAACCGTTCAGGTTTTACAGTCTGTCAAAGATGCAAAAAAGTCAATTTTCAACTGTCAATATTTCCGAAACAGTTGAAATAGGTATATGACATTATATATGAAATATGTCTAGAATTTTCCGCAGAATCCAGAAATGTCATAATATACAGGGGGAGTTATTCAAAAAAACATAATTTTGTATCACTACTAGTTATTGGGCCACCCTGTATACTGGAAAATAATTTAGGCGCTTAGTAACTCACCCTGTATACAAGGTGTTTGGTACATCGATAGTAAGTTTTCAATGTGTGATAGTTGGGGTAATTTAGAAACTGTTTGACGATATTTAACCTCATGCAAAGTTATGTCGTTTTTAAGATATCAGCATTTTTAGATATTTTTGGGAAATATTTGAATTGTTCCTAAAACATATTATTTTTTTTTAGTAGTAAACATTTCAACCTCTTTCAATTTATTTTTTTTTCGGTCTTCCTATACAGGGTGATTCAAAAGTAAGCGGCATCCTTTCGGGGGTATATTTCTTGCATAAAAATAAGACAAAAAGTTCCTATTAACATGGGTCCGGAAATGCTTCCTAAGGGAGCTACGCCCCTTCGAATAGGACACCTGAAAGACGTGTTTTTCAGTCTAACTTTGAAACCCTTCACAAATGGATTTTGAAAATTGGTGTATTTTATAAACATTCGATGGCAATTGAGATGCTAAATTGAAAATTCAAAAATCTTCAACAGTGTCACATACTGGGGAGGGTGAAAACATGCCTATTTTTTTTTTATTCGTCAGGTTTTTGCGATACATACGCAAATCAGAAAATTTTCAACGTCAATTTTCTCGTAAATGGTACCCTGTATCGAATTGAACCAAGAGTACCTTTTCTGTGTAAAAAACTAAACTTTCTGAATTTTTAATCAGAATTTCAAAAACCTGACGAGTAAAAAAAAATAGGGATGTTTTAACCTTCGCCCTCCCCAGTATGTGACGCCACTGATTAAAATTTTTGAATTTTCAATTTACTATCTTAATTGCCATCAAATGTTTATAAAATACACCAATTTTCAAAATCCATTTGTGAAGGGTTTCAAAGTTATAGAGAAAAATACGTCTTTCAGGTGTCCTATTCGAAGGGGCGTAGCTCCCTTAGGAAGCATTTCCGGACCCATGTAATAGGAACTTTTTGTCTTATTTTTATGCGAGGAATACGCCCCCGAAAGGATGCCGCTTACTTTTGAATCACCCTGTATATGCACTCTTTCGAAACAATACGGATAGAGACACCGAATGATTGATATAAAAAAAATTTAGTCCAAGTTATATGTTAAAATAAATAGATTCAAAATATCTGAAAATGGTGATATCTCAAAAAACGGCGAAACTTTGCATGAGGGTAAATGAAGCCAAACAGCTTCCAAATGACCCTAACTATCACTCATTGTAATCTCCCTATCGATGTACCAAACACTCTTTATACCTACCTATAGAGTCTTTATTTTCACATTTCACGATTATTCTTCCAGTACAATTTATTAGGCTAAACCATAAAATAGAAAAAAAGTTTTGTAAAGGTAGAATAATATTTTTTGAATACATTAAAACTTGGATCTTTTTATTTTTGTATCGCCGATTAGCATCAAAGACTCTCTTAAGAAGTTCTGTGTGAGGATATTTAACATTTATCTCATGCCTGGAATACACCAGCAGATACCATAGTACAGATGCAATATGAGCACAGGTTCCGGAGGTCCTTGCACCTGATTTCCATGTATAGTAGTGTCCAGTAATTGAAATATTATCATATTGAATAAAAAGTTGGTGTTTGATAGCGTTTTTGATAGATACCATTCCTTTGCTAGAAGAGAGAAGAGCTTGGAATTAAAATCAAAATACCAAGTCAACTAGGGGCAGGCCAGAATCAACTCTCAACGGAAGAAGTCAATGCCTCTGGATTAGTCACTAAAACCAGATGATGGATTGGCGAGGCTAGAAATGGACGGACATTTTCAATCAATGTTTAAGTTATTTTCGGAATCTATACCTATCTACCTCATGTAAAAAACTTATGGGATTTTGATAAGATCTGTGGAGCACTTGATAAATATGGAGAGTCAGTAATCATGGAAGGAGCAACCATTGAGGATTCTCAATAAATATTGCAAAAGTCTAGTGAAGTGAATCGTCTTCAAGACTTTGTCCAAAGGGATAATCTGCATCTTAGAAATGCTAGGTGGAGGAGACTGGAAGAAAATCACGCCCCAAACTTTCCATATCCTAATTTAGATTACCTAAGAGATATTGCAATAGGAGTATATCAGCTAAAACTTGCCCCTTTATAGACCTTCATATATACAGGACACAATACGCAGAGATCAAGAAACCGAACTGCAGAACGGTACCCTGCTAGAAAATCCAAATACTATGCGTTTGAGAGTTCACTCTCGCTACCGCAACGCTATCAAACATCAACTTTTTATTCAGTATATATTTTAATTACTGAATACAAATCAAGTCAAAGAACCTTGGGAACCTGTGCCCGCATATTGCATCTATTCTTTACTATGGTATCTGGGGCATTCCAGGCCTGGAATAAATGTGAAATATTGTCCTACAGAACTTTTTCAGAGAGTTTCTGTTTCCGATGCTAGTCAGCGATACGAATCTTAGTATAGTATTTAGTTATTTCACAACAAAAAAACAAGTACAAAATATCAGATTATGTCAAAACTGTATTTTGCAAGACGCGTATATGCATGGAGCATTTTGTCTATCTGTTAGTCGAAACTGGATATAATAATGACACTTTAATATTAGACAAAATGTAGCACAATTTATGTTGATTATAATAATTTTTTAAATTATTTTATGATATTTTATCGATTATCATAAAATATTAATGAAATGTGAAAATTCATGTCTTTAATTTGTTCTTGTTCATCCTGAAAAGGCTATAACTCGAAAACGGCTCGAACGATTTTTTTATGGCAAGATCATGAACTATATCATACTAAAATTTTATTGGATTTGACCGGAACCACTTTTCCATAAGTTTTGTGCGTGGTCCTTTGGTATGATGGCTTTATTTATTGTTCTTATGAATATACTGCAATTTTAATTGTTTCACATGACTGCTGCAATAATTAGAATTGCAGTATATTCATGAGAACAATAAATAAAGCCATCGTACCAAATTTCAGCGCTGTGCGACAATTTTAATTTTTTTTTACTTTTTGAAAAATTCCGCGCGACGTGTTCAGGCCAATAAGTCATTGAGTAATTAACGACAAAAAAAATCCGCTGGGACATTATGAGAGGAATAAATGGGCTGCCGATTGTCGAAAACTGTCACCAAATATTTGGCCCCGTTTAGAAATTACAGTGAATGCAAGAAAGGGGTAGTTTTTGATGCAATTTACAACTTCCGCGCACATTGGGAGAGTCTGTGCTCGCTTAATTTTCAAGCAAAAAAATTCGAACAAAAAAGCATTGGAGAGTGCATTTCATTAGCAATAATGTGGTGTTTGAAAAATTGAAAACAGGCAAAAGGTTGATTCAGTGACCTTGAATAAAAACATGCAGCTATTCAAGACGCTGCAGAAAAAAACTATAGAAGATAGAGGGATACTGTCGCTGAGTTTTTTATAGCAAAAAACTTCAGCTACAACAATCATTTGAAACTTTTTGCTATTGGACCATCCCTTTGAGCAGCGTTCTCCATAAACCGCAAATTACCCCTAAATACCACCCCTAACTAAAAACCCTATGGAAATACAAGGTCGCAAACTTAATATGTTATTAAGCACATGAAAATGGACCGATCCCCCCCAAAAAATGTTAACTTCTAATTATGTTGAGGTAAACTTCCTTTATTGCTTGGCCTATCATTCTTTATTATCTTAATGTTTTTGTTCAACTCCAAATAACATTATTTTTAATTTATTTTAGGTGGGCGAAACTACGTATGGCAATGTTGCCGCTCGTGATAATATTTGAACCTTTAACTGAGTGCATGGTGATTGGAATCTTTGCTGGTTGGGCAACTAGTGTGTTGTTCAAATGGGAGTTTTTGACTGTTTACATGATTCATATTCTAGTGTGGTTCATTTGTGATTGGATACTATTGTCAATAGTTCAGGTAATTATAATCAAAATATGTACCTACTATCAGATCTGGGAATTATGTATCAGTTCAATTTATTATATTTGAATACAAAACTTGGTAAATTGGAGAATTTAGGGCCAAAACGGGCATACACAAAAGTCAATATATCGTTCGAGTTCACCAAAAACATTTCGCGCACGAGGTGCAAACAATATTATTTCAACAACTCCATTTGAATATCGATAATTCGAAGCTAAAATTGCATTCACAATCAAAGGCAGGTGAATTGTAATTATTTTTGGTTTCCTGTCAGGTATTTGTTACCATGACTCTGTGCGCGAATTGGGCATTTCGCACACTAGAGAAACATTTCACACACATTGGGAATGTTACAGACACAATACCTGGAAAAAAAGTGTCACTTCGCAAATTGCCATCAGTGTGCAAACATCTTTTTTTGACAGTTGTAGAAAAAATAAATTTAAGGTCTCTATCAGAATTATTACTGGTTCGAAAAACTTGGGCTATATTTTCACTCCCACAATCTTTACCTATGATCTATTCGATGTAATTTCACTCAAACAAAAACACATGCTTTATTAGGTTTTTTTTTTTCAGAATGGTGTTTTGCCATTTAGCAAATTTGAATTTATTATTGGATGGTTGTTTCGGGAGTGCAAAGGACCATGTCTTTTTATATCAGCAGCATTTGATCCATCCATACAATGGAGGAACCGAAGTTTCAAACTTGCCTGGGGTGGGATCGCCCAGGAGGTCAAGCCTAGAATAAAATGTTAGATGTTTTAAACATTAAGCCGCTCGTTAACAAACACTACTAAAACGAATTTCATTACTTCATTGTTAAAAAAAAATTACAGAACTTTTTTTGGATTTCCAGCTATTTTTTACTTTTATATGTTGCAACATAACTAACTACTTAAGTGATCATTGCACGCCCCTATGAGCATCTCCAGTTTATAGTCGCCGTCACAGATATTTGAGATTCCTACAAAAAACGATTTCTTTGTCGCGATGCCCGGATAAACAAAACCTCTACAGATAAGGGTTGAGAATAAATTTAGTCCAAGAGCATCAATTAAATTCATTGTGCATATAGTATTATTGTATTGTTCTGGATTCGATTAAATACTTAATTTCTTGCATCTTCAGAAAATTGAGAAATAATTTTAAACATTATTTACAATTTAAACCGAATAATTTCAAACCAATATCATCTTGTACTCAAGTGATTCCTGACACGTGCTCCCTGACTAAATGCAGGCCCGCTGATAATATAAATATACTTTTTTGTACGAATCTCGGAATATATCTGGTGGATACTATACAAGACCTAATGCTTTAAAAAATGCTTGTCATTATAATTAAGTATGCATATCTTACTTTTTGAAACTATACTTCTGGACAAAATTATCGCACCACTGCTTATGTGATGCTTATGTGCAGTGGTGCGATAATTTTGTCTAGGAGTATATTTATTTGTTATTTTCTTCATTTACAACTCATATATCTTATGCGCTACCATCGAGCAAAAATGTTTTTTTCTGGAAATATCAGTATTAAGAAAGCTTCTAAAGGAACAATGAAGCTTTCAGGATTTTAATTAAAAACATTTTTCTTTGATGGTAATTGTTTTGTAGGTAGTTCATTTTTTTAATTACTTAATTTTTTTGTGTTACCTTTATTCCTTAGAAATTAATGTGTTATTATTTTTGCTTGTTATTTTTTTTTTAGCTTTTCATGTTTAGGTTATAGGTTTTTTTTTTGTTTAAAAATACCATATTTTACCAATTGTGCTATGATTCTAAGTGTGCCAGCCAGTTCTTAAAAGTTGTATCATAGGCCAATAAGGATTTTGCTTTAAAGCTAAATTTTTTGTATAGGTTTATGACTTTTTTTTTTCAAGAACTATCTAGTTTGGAAGGTGAGCATTTTAAAGTAAGTGTGAAGGATAGGAGCTTTTGTTTTTTTTTTTGAATGGCCAATCTTCTTTTACTTTAAAAAAAATGGCGGTTGTCAATAATAATTTTATTGGCCTATGATGGTGATAACTGGTTAAAAGTTGGCTTGGCTCATTTTATTAATTTTTTCCGGGTTTCAGTTTCTTGTACTTGTCTTTATTGAATGAAGCTTTCGTTACATATTTTGATTTAGATGATAATCAAATAAATAAAACAGGAAACTATAAATGAATTTTTAACATGTTTTAGACCTGACACTCATTAAAGTTATGCACATTTTGTATAACACCTGAAATGCTTATTTCACAGAGTGAAACGATTTTATTTATTATTTAGGCTTGGACTGTTGCAAGCCTGAAGGAATATCCTATTGTGTTTATTGACGAATAAAATTAGACCTACAATCTCGAGGAAATGGCAATGGCAGCTATTCAAGCCAATACGTAATACCTACTTTATTAATTTATTAATAAAAAATGGGTGTTATGTTTTTGTAGATTTCTTTGTTCTTTGATAATAAACAAAATTGTTCACTTTGTGTTTTGTTAAAATATTGTTTAAGCTTTCAAAATTAGGACATATATTTTCACTTGAAGCCTTGACTGATCTCCATTTGAAATTTACTGGCATCTGAATTACTTGGCACTCATCTACAGCTTTATTTACATCCTTTGTTTTACAGAATCTAATTTATTTTTATATTTATTTTTATGTATGTATATATGTATTTATTAAACGTTTCGTTGCTACTAGAATCTTCAAACAAAACTTTTGTAAAAATCGATTCTAAATATATCATGTCTCAAACTTTTGTATTGATTTATTTTCTTGCATTTACAGGATATCTGAAAAAATAATTATAAGCTATACAATTTCTTGATTCATGCTCAGGTCTGCTCCTTAACCCTAGGATTTTAGCCTCACTATTTTCCAAGAGAAAATGTGTGCAATAGGGCATGGAATTTTTTGGGAAAAAACCAAGGAGGAATGAAGGTTAATATTAATTCCGGAAGTCGGGCGACACCAAAAGGTCTCAGTACTACTCAGTAGTTTTATGAGGTCCATATTATATAATGACTGAATTTGAGCGATGGCACTGATTATATCGACTTTGAGATCACCTGCGGTTTGCAACTGGGAAACCCGACAGAAAAAAGTCTAATAAGGTCAAATCGCACATCAGGCCGGCAGGTGCTGGATTGCGTTGCTGGTTCTGAAACGGGGCCCTTTTATAGCTTAACAAAATACCACAGTTGAAGAGATGGTCCAAAATTACAGAAAGAAAAACTAGTTGGGGGTTTTCCACTCAAAACTTTATTCAATCAGTGTTTGTACTACAAAAAAGAGCAGTTAAATATATTTGCCATGCAGGATATGGACAGAGCTGCAGACCACTTTTTAAACGGGAAAGAATTTTGACAGTTCCCTGCATATTCCTTTTGGAAACGGCCTGTCTAATATTTAAAAAATTTAAAAATAATGATACAGTGAGAGACACTGGTTACAACCTACGCAACCAAAATTTTCCATTACCCATTCCGAAATTTGCCTTAACGAAAAATTCTATTATATATGAGAGCATTAAGATCTTCAACAAGCTGCCAGACGAAATAAAGGGTGTGGAGGACTATGGACAATTTAGAAAAACTTTAAAGAGATTTCTGGAAACCAAAGCCTATTACAGTCTTGGGGAATTCTACTCAGACTAATCTTTTAATCTTTTACTGTGATCTTTAAACTGTGATTCTTAAACTGTGATATTTTCAATTTTTCAATTACTAAATTATTTATTTTTAATAGGCTTTAACTGATTCATGTAGTGTTTGACTTTATTTATAGTGATGATTGTTTTTTAAAAATTTTGCTACCATCCCGCGCTGACTCGTGTCGGTTCTGTGTTGGATTTGCTTAGGTATCTGGAAGCAATCAAATGTAGCCCATGAAAATGTTCTTTTATTTATGTATTGTAAACTGTTCAGGTGTTGTTGATTGTATATAGAATTCTCACTGTTATTTTATTGCTTGTCTTTCTAGTTTTTTGTCTTATTTTTACTCTCAACACTGACATCTAAATTTTAACTTAGTATACATTTTTAGGATATAGGAAATTAACTTTAGACTTTTTTTTTGGCTTTGTCAATGGAATTTGCATAATTTTTTTGGACAATAAAGCTTTTTTGATTTGATTTGATTTGAAGTATCTCGCTCAAACTCTTATCCAGGCCTACAACAAAAGAATTTGTTTCGCCATCGTCTAAAAAAGACAAGAAATTATCGAAATCAGTAAAGCGTAGCTGAGGCTGCTACCAAGCCTTTCAATAGGTCGTTGTTACCACTTCTTAAAGTTAGGCAAGGTTGGGGCAGAAGCAGACACTTCTGTATCAAAGCTTTAGAATCTGCCGTACATATTATATTTTGCAATTGTGAAGCGTTGTGGTGCAGAATACTTATTCACATAGAGCAGATATCATGCTCGCCAGCAGACTTTGGAAAAAATGTCTCTTGGGAAAATTCTAGGCTACATCAAATGACTTAATTTAGCAGAGGGGAAGCACAATGTGCCCAAGACGAACACTGGAGTACCTACTAAGTACTATTCCCACCAGGCGCGGCTCGTGAGTTCTTTTATAGGTGGGTCAAATTAAGAGGGAGTAGAGAGACAGCGCCGCAGGCTAAAATAGCGCCTTCGGCGAAAAATTTTTGGTAATAAACTAAAGTTTTTGTCTTTTTGTAGGAATTTAAATTTGAATATTTATGGTCATTTTGAAATTTGACAATTGATGACGTAGATGTTGGTTTAGTTAGCGGAGGAGAGGTGGAATATCCTTGCTCCTAATTTCAGGTTATGTCTTACGTTAAGTAAAAAACACCTGGTTAGAAACCTTTTTAGAATTCGTGCAATAAGTTACTAAATATTTAATTAATAAAGAAAATACAACAACAATTTAGTTAATTAGACCCATCCCTACATTTTAAATAGAAAAAATAACTTACTTTGGGTGGGTCTAATGTTTATTGTTTGAGTCAACTAAGTCCTAAATTTAGACACGTTTGAACAACAAATCATTTCTCCTATCCTTCTGATGAGCAAAGTGGTCAATGACTAGTTCATTGAAGTTCCCAATTTTTTTGATAAATGCCTTCTCAATACTGAGCATAGCCAATGCACTCAACCTAGACTGCTCTTTCGTAGTTTGGCATAAATCAAACTTTGGTTTTGGTCGTTTTGGACGACCTCATTTCTTTAATTCCAACCGTTTTTCAAAAGTCAATCCCCCACTGGAAATTAAAGAAATTATTTCCTGAACAAGGGAACCCATTTTTGAGAAGCGATTTAAGAAAAATTCAGGAAAGATTACCTACTCAAAAAATTAAATCAAAACAAAAACAATGTGCACAATGATAATTCAGTAATTGTTTTAAGAAAAATAACTCTGGACACCCCAACACTCTAGGCCTTTTGTTTTTCATCTTTCTCCAATAAACTCGATTGAAAAATGACAATAAAATCGTCGAATTCTGAGCGCTCTTGTTCCATTCCGATAAATACCTATATCGATCGATCGAGGATCTGGCGCCGCTGCCGGCCGTCGACGTGATGGAACATATGGAAGCAAATGTGCCTTTATCTTACTCATTTACGCCCGTTATGTCTCTCTCTCTCTCTCTGATTCCTATTGCATTCGCCTATGATCATTTGAAAGCTATAAGCCCAATTTTAAATACGGCCGAGTGCAGCTAGGCCTGTATTTTGTAATTTTAAAAGGCGGGTACCCAATATGCGCAAAATAATTCGATTTCTGTATTCTGTTGAGAGTGATGTTGGTTAATTTAAAACGAAATATTCAAGATGTTTAATTGAAAATTTATTGTTTGATTTTTTGTTGGGTCATTGACCGAATGACCTTACAGAGGAGCCGCGCCTGATTCCCACATATGAAGTTCTGCTCCAAACCACACTGTTGAAAATGGACTTGCCAGTCGCTTCTCATTTTTATCAATCCCTCTAAGAGCGACTTTTCCTCATTCTACCCCTCAGTTCAGTCCGATGCAGCTCTTCCGTTACCAAGCAATTTATTCAAGACACTGACAAAAAAAAAATAACAAAACTAGTAGATAACAGTACAAAACTTTGTTTAACTACAAAGTTTGTATGTGTATGTGTATGTGTGTGATGGAGGTGTCAGTTGCACCGTGACCAAGGTTGATCTATTGTAACCCTCCTTCTGCTGCTAAGTTCGGGTGTCCTGTGCAAAGTAGCCCCTCCAGTCTTAGGTCCTTGAGGAACTTTAGGATATCTAGCGGTTCCAGGGCTGGAATGTCTTCCATCTGTATAAGGGTCCTTAAGGAACTTCAGGAAATCTAGCAGTTCCAGGGCTGGAATGTCTTCCAACTGTATAAGGGCACTTCCCAGATTCTTCATCCTTGAACGACTAACGCCATCGCAGTTCAGTAGAAGATGGTGCATTGCCCAATAGATATTGGGCCTGTCGTAGTCCTGGCTGTTCTAGCCATTGTTTGTTCCTTAGCCGGTTCTCTTCTTTTTTGGGGTGCGCATTTCCGACGTCGCAAAATGGTTCTGGCCTAGTGAAGGGAGTAGACGCTCTCGTTCTTACGAGTCTGTCTGCGCATTCGTTGCCCTCGACACCTATGTGTCCAGAGGAGGGTTACTTTATTTTGTTTTCCCAGCTCATTTAGCTTCTGTAGACATTCCCATGCTGTCTTAGAATTGATGACCGGGGATCTCAATGCTTTGATAGCTGCTTGGCAGTCAGATATTATTACAATCTCTCGTTTCCCATAACTTCTGTTCAGGTTGAACTGCACACATCTTCCGATTGCATGAAGTTCCGCTTGAAATATGCTTGGTGATTTCCCCATCGGTTCCGAGTATCTGGTCCGTGGCCCGAATACTGCGGCTCCAGTTCCCTCAGCAGTTTTGGAACCATCTCGTGTACCATTTGATGGTGTTTGCCAGGCGCGGCTCGTGAATTTTTCTACAGGTGGGTCAAATTTAGAGGAACAGCGCAGTGTTTCGAAAGTCAATCCACCACTAGAAATTGAAGAAATGATTTCCTGAACAAGGGAACCCATTTTTGTGAAGCGAATAACGACTGAGATTACACAAAAAATTAAATCTTTGAGAATCAAACGATAATCAAAATCAAAACAAAAACAATCAAGAATCAAGTGCACAATGACAATTCAGTAATTGTTTTAAGAAAAATAAATCTGGACACCCCAACACTCTATGCCTTTTGTTTTTCATCTTTCTTTAATAAACGCGATTGAAAAAAGACAATAAAATCGTCGAATTCTGAGCGCTCTGGTTCGATTCCTATAAATACCTATATCGATCGATCGAGGATCTGGCGCCGCTGCCGGCCGTCGACGTGATGCAACATATGGGAGCAACTGTGCCTCTTTATCTTACTCATTTGCGCCCGTTATGTCTCTCTCTCTCTGATTTCTATTGCATGCGCCTATGATCATTTAAAAGCTATAAGCCCAATTTTAAATACGGCCGAGCGCAGCAGGCCTGTATTTTGTAATTTTAAGGCGGGTACCCAATATAATCAGTTCAATGCGCATAATAATTCGATTTCTGTTTTGTTGAGCATATTGTTGATTAAATTAAAACTTAATATTCAAGATGTTTAATTGAAAATTTATTGTTTGATTTTTTGGTGGGTCATTGACCGAATGACCTTACAGAGGAGCCGCGCCTGGTGTTTGCTTTAAGGGATTGGATAGATTCCATGTTCTATTTGTTTTTTGTACCTACTTAGTTGGATGGAAAAGTTTTTCTCGAAACTGAATTTATCAACAATCACGTCTTTTGGAAGATCCATGTGCACAGTTTGGAAGAGGAAAAGTTCTGCCAAGGTGCGTTTCCCTTTGCAAACCTATCTTCTCCAATCTTAGACATGATCGACTGGCAACGCGCGTCAGTATTATGTAGAGGGGTGTGAGGTCTAGAACAACTTCTAGTGCCGCGGTTGGGCATGATCTCATTGCTCCTGTTACACAGAGACACGCGAGTCTTTGTACTTTTCCTAGGGGTTTCCTAGCTGTTACTAGCTGGGTTCGGCGATACCAGGCTACCGCTCCGTAGGTGATGATAGGTCCACTATCATGGCATACATCCATCTTAGAATTGATGGGTTACAACCCCATGTTTTACCCGCAATGTTTTTGCAGACCATGGGTTTTTTGTGTTCTCTACATGTCGGTTCTAGAGAAGTTTAGAATCTATATAGGGTTATTCCTAGGAATTTAACTTCTTTTTTCCAATCAAGTCTGCTTCCATCGAGGCGAATGTTTCTCTGGTTTGGGAGTTTCGTTCTTTTTGTAAATTTTACCAGTGTGGTTTTTGCTGATGAGTTTAGATTCAGCCCCACTGTCTGACATCATTCCTTCGTGGTTCGGAGTGCTTTTTCTTTAAGGTCGCAGAGTATTCCTTCGTATTTGCCTCTGGCCATGATGACAATCTCATCGGCGTATCCAAAGCAAGTGAAGCCCTGATCGGTCAGTAAATTTAGGAGGTCATCAACCACTAGACTCCAGATCAAAGGTGAGAGTACCCCTCCCTGCGGACATCCTCTAGTGGTGGTGACCTGTATGATTTATTCACCCACGGCAGTTCTGGTGGCTAACGTTTCGCACATCCAGGTGTATGTGGTTTTGTCCACTCCTTTTTTGACGAGCGCATTTTCTATTGACTCATGAGAGGTGTTATCAAATGCCCCCTTTATGTCCAAGAAGGCGCAGACGGCTACTTCTTTATTATGCAATGTGCTTCGGATGCGTTCGGTGAGCTCAAGTAAAGCGGTTTCTGTTGATCTGCCCGCCCTGTAAGCATGCTGCCCATCAGGATGTAGTAGCGTCTTTTCTAAAACACTTATTCTGATGTAGTTATTTACAACTTTCTCAGCTGTTTTAAGCAAGAAAGACGACCTCTAAGATTTGTGTCGGTACTTCCCCAGATGGTGTTGTGAGCGTTGGCGTCACAGCCAATTAGGAACGGTAGTTTGCTCCTGTTGCATTACTCGACTAGTCTCTGTATTTCTGGTGGTGCTTGCCCATCTCCAGCGAAGTAACCTGATGCCAGTACTAGGTCGCGGTGTGATTGGTCGGTGATAAGTTTTACCCGAACAGTAACCAAGTCCCGCGACGTAAATTCTGAAAGACATTAATGATTAATGTTCTCTTTCAGGAGACTGCATGCTCTAGGCTCGTTACACCGACTGTCCAAGATTAATTTTGCCCCTTTTACTTGGTAGACCTTTGATCTGCCCCCACGTGAACAACCGCGCTATGGCAGCAGATGCTTCCCTAGCGTGATGTGAGTTCACTTGGGCTATTTTGGTTTAATTCGCCATCTTACTCTGTTATTATTGTCTCTTCTGGTGTGGTGGAGTGTTGGCCTCCTATTCGCCCAGAAGCATATTTTCTTCCTCGCTGGGAATTTCCTCTACTTGTGTCACTTATCATCTGCGAATAACCCTCTCATACGTAACGATATGATGCTTGTAAATTACTTTTTGTTTCTTCTAAGAACATCTTTAATTCAGTCTTCTTTTTTATCCATGTTGTTAGATTATTAAATAAGTTTAAACTGATATTGTTCCTGTACTAATAAGATTGTTGTTAATTAAAACATTTTTTACTCTGAGTATAAAATTGTTGGTCGTCCTGCAGGCATTATATTCCTTTCTAATTAACCGCATTTGCATACTACACTACCTCCAAACCTTTGACACTGATCAATCAATCATATCTATCCTTATCAGCTTAATATCGCTTACGCTGATGATTATGTCAAAAACCAAAGGCGGACGAAAAAAAACTGGCTTCGTACCATGGGCGTCGTTTGGGCTGGGGGGGGGCAAGGGGGGGCATTTGCCCCCCCCCCCCCTAGAAATAGTCTTTTGAACAAGAAAGCAGTAAAAGAGAGTTCGTATTCGTATTTCTTTTTTCCATTTTTTCAAAATTTGTTAGGTACTTTGAAAAATTGGCTGACATTTTCATTACATTCAAGGGAATTGAATTTCACTTGAATTAGGGCCGGTATTATAAAACGCTGAATCGATGGTAGAGTTTCAACCTTCGGTTGAATCCTATCAATTTGCATGAATGAGTCAACCGAAGTTTGAAACTCGATCATCGATTCAGTGTTTTATAATACCGGCCATTAAAAAATAACCTAAAAAAATGAAGCCCGGGACGCATCTATCATGCATTCTTCCGATCCGACTCCGATCATACAATCAGGGCCCTTATTATTGAAACAGGGAGCATCGTTCTCAGGAGAACGAGTGTTCCGCTGCTCCCCTGTTCCAAGAATATAAGGACCTTGATTGTATGATCGGAGTCGGATCGGAAGAATGCATGATAGACGTGTCCCGGCCTTGATGCAGACAGTAAATTGGTTGCGGAAAAAAGATACCATCATTTTTAACTAAATATCGATATCAAATACAGTCATGAGCACAAAAAGTGGAACACCCGACTGACAGATCTTGTCATTTTTCGCTATTTTGCGTAACTCAGTCTTTTCTCTACAATTGATTTTTTGTCAAATATGACAATCCCTGTCATTGCCGTAGGTATAGCTGGTGAGCCCGTTTTACAATAGGAAAAAAACGGGTGTCCCACTTTTTGTACTCACGACTGTACGTTAAAATGCTCAAAAAGGGGCGTCGTGGCACCAAAAAAAATTAGCCTACGGTGGTTGCCTGCGGCGCTAATGGAAATGCTCTTATTATAATACTGCCCCCCCCCCCCCTGAGAAACCTCGTAACGACGCCCATGCTTCGTACACCTATAATACCTACATATACTTATCGGCGATCAAAAATATACCTTTATGGAAAAAAAATAAGCAAAATCGGAGGTGGTAAATTGGTAAAAGATAATAGAATAGAAGACGAAACGCGAACCACAAAACTTTACTTCAAATTTATGATCAGCAACCAAAAAATATAGGTACCTTTCTATACCAATAATATAATCTTCGCATCAACTCAAAAAACTATGCCAAGATTTAACTTCTATGTTTCTAATTAATTTACATTGTCCCCACCTATAACTGGCTTTCAAACAATAATTATCTTATTTGCTCAGAGCAATCACTATGATAAAGTACCTAAGTAGGTATAGAACTTCTTTTGTTATTATGTCACTTCAAGTTACGATAGCTGTATTTATTTAATGTATCACTAATATGTATGTATGTACCTACCTACCTGTTTATTTATACACTCAAAGAAAATGACTTTGAAAAAAAAACGGAATAAAGTGCAGATGAGAATTATTGGTTTGATATCTACTTGAAACAATGATATCGGTTGAGATTAGATAAAAAATAAAAATAATTTATCCACTAATTTCACCATTGATAATAACAGTCACTCAACGGTGTGATGTGTTCTATTCTCAAAATAACATATATTGCAAAATGAATCTGGACGATAATAAATATAATGCATACAATAATCAAGCCTATGATGGAATGGAAGGTAAGTGATACAGTTTATTAACACTATTATATTAATTTGAGCAGAATGCGGTTTATTGAAAAACCAGTCGGATTTGCGAAGCAAAAGAATGGATAATGGCACAATGTTATATATCGCTTGTTGTACCTCAATTAGTATAGGTACAAATATAAGTAAGAAATGTTACCAATATAAAAAGGACATTGATAGATTATAGATTGATACCTAAGAAATCTAAGAATCAGTTAAACTGTTTATCTTGACACTAATGCAGTAGGATAACTTTATTGGTTAGGTTGATTCGAACAAATAAAAAGCTAAATTAAAAAATATATATGACAGAGGCAAATACATTTTTAAATGTAGGTACCTACCTATCTACTTAGCTATCAATACAAATTTTAACATTACATGGTAGCTTTAGGACCCTTCCCATTCATTTCAAAACGTTTTTGGATTCTTTTAGGCCAAGCAATGAAGGAAGTTTAACTCAATATAATTAGAAGTTGACATTTTTTTGGGAGGATCGGTCCATTTTCATGTGCTAAATAACATATTAAGTTTGCGACCTTGAACTTTCATAGGGTTTTTAGTTAGGGGTGTTTTTTAGGGGTAGTACATTAGGCGAGTCCGTGCTCGCTTAATTTTCATGCCAAAAATTCGAACAAAAACGCATTGAAGAGTGCATTCCATTAGCAATAATGTGGTACTTGAATAATTAAAATCGGATTTTTCATTCAGCCGCTGCTGCACCAAATGCGCGCAAACAGGCGAAACGCTGATTCAGTGACCTTGAACAAAAATATGCTACTATTCAAGACGCTGCAGAAAAAAAACTATAAAAGATGACGGGGTGCTGTCGCAGAGTTTTTTATAGCAAAAAAATCCAGCTACAACAATCATTTGAAACTTTTCGCTATTGGACTATCCCTTTGAGCAGCGTTCTCCATAAACCGCAAATTACCATTACCCCTAATTAAAAACCCTATGGAAGTTCAAGGTCGCAAACTTAATATGTTATTTAGCACATGAAAATGGACCGATCCCCCCAAAACAAATTTAACTTCTAATTATGTTGAGGTAAACCCTCTTTTCAGATCCCCGTTTCTTGGACTATTTGGCTATGTTCGCCTATTCAATAAAAATTTAAAAAAATATTTATTCACCATAAAATATCCATTATAATGATATCAGATTTGCCTTAGTTGCTCATTAAATATTAGACTTTTTGATGATAATAAGTCACTCACCTAATATAGTAGATTTCAGTCAACCTAAAAGTAACACATTCACATTCTTCCTCTAAAATACCTTGTGCCTCATTTCAATGTTTCAGATATTCCTTTACCCGTATATACAGAAACTTACGTTCAACAAGGGTCTAAGGAAGTTTTTGATACAGGTACACATTATAATTTTGTATATCTAATTGACTATCTAATTTATTTTTCAGGATTTGACTCGTCTAGTAGTCACATCCAAATAAATACGACGGAATCCGTTACTTTGAGCAAGGTAATTTCATCTCAACCTCCAAGAAATGGACCTGATGATGGTAGGTTTACACACATTTATGCTATTTTTTAATTTTTATTATGAATTATAACATATATTGATGATATTTTTAGATCCCAAACGTGGTATAAGGAGGCCTATACCAATATCTGTCATTGACAGAGAAAACTTTTCTACTAGTTTCCACTCACCTATTAATGGCATGGATTTCTTACGAAATGCTGATCAACTTATAATTCAACAAAATTGTGATCTTACTGATTGTATGTATGGTCAACATTTACAAAATTCTCGTTTAGTCAGTTTTTTTTTTCACTTTGTCAATAGAAACACACAATAATAGATTTATTATGAAAATTTTGCTGTTTTAGTGATGGCCGATACAGAAAATAGATACACAGTCAAAATTCCAGCAAGAGAAAATGCCGAAGCCATTTATTATGCTACAGAAAGTTCTAAATCTTGTCAGAGAATGTGTTTTGGATCCGGCAGAGGTTTTAATATGAGGCTTTATGATAAAACTGATCAAGAAGCTATGTCGTTTAAAAGACGCTTAGCTTGTGGCTATTTCACTTTTTGTTTCAAGTTACAGGTAAAACTTCCATAGCCGTTCCAAAACAACACAAGGCTTCCATATTAGTTTATTTTGAAATTTGAATTTTCATGTATTGTTATAGAAAATGGAAGTTTGGAGTCCACCTGGAGAATTGGTGGGAACAATTTGCCAAAAATGGAAATTATGTAAAATATCTTTCGAAGTGCTCAACAGGCACGAGCAAGTGCTCTATATTATTGAAGGACCAACATCGTTTGCATGTTTTCACAAAGCTGAAATGTTTCAGGTAGACTTTACATTAAGTACATGGTGACTATGGTTAAGTTAAGTGAACGTTTTCCTTTGGAAAGGTATTGGTGGAAGCGTATTTTTTAACTGATCAAACCACCATAAGTATTTATACCACGTGGTTTTTGAAACGTTTCAATTATTTTTAGAAATTCACTCTATTTTGACATGAATAGCGTGAAGTGATGCAATTAGTTGGATGCTATGTTTTATACCTATGTCTTACAGTTTTGCAGTAGATTAGATTATATACCATTACATTACATTATATATTTTTACCTATGTATACAGCAAATAATGAAACACGTATACAGAGGGGTTTGGAAAGTATCTTTTTTTTTTTAAATCGCTCGGACCCGTCAATTTTATTTTTCAGCTGCGCATTTTTTGGAGAAAAGACCACTAGTGGTCGCATTAACGGGCCTCCGTGATCTCCAGACATTACACCGATGGATTTTGAAAAGTCAGTTAACGTCATTTTTATGGAATCCTCAAAAGACAAAATCCAGCGGTGCAATGTCTGGATATTACGGAGGCCCGGTAATGGGACCACAGTGGCAACTAATATTCCTGGAATTATGAGCTTGATATTATGTCGTTGGATTTAGAAGTAGAGTTTATTAGGCATAAAATAAAAAATTTCGACCATTTGAAAAAACAAAGTTGATGATGATCGCGAAGCAAGGAAACGTCTGTGAAATGTGAAGTGAAATGTGAAGTTTATTTTGCTAAATCATTTCAAATAAAGTCAGAAAAAAATAAAAACGATTTCGACAAAATTCGGTTTTTTTTTGATATCTTTAAAATCATTCGGAATTTCCGAAGTATCAAAACATGACGCCAATGAGCTCAGTAATGCGTAACTTTTTCCAAATTCAACCAAACCTGTATCTTAAATAGTTACGGAGATCCCTGTAGAGTGCATCCTTATCCGGGACACCCTGTATTGTACAGTGTGTCCAAGATAGGGATGGGATAGCATTAGGATCTAGAGAACGGTTGAAGTTACAATGTTTGTTAGTTTAGGAAAAAGTTCCGCAATTTAACGCTCAATAAAATGGTACTTTGACATTTGAAAAATTCCGAACACTTCCGGAGATAACCTGAAAAAAACGAAATTTTGCAAAATTGATCTTATTTTTTCTGATCTTATTTGAGGAGATATTTCAAAATAAATGTCACTTCATCGTAACAACTTTTTCTACTCTACAAGATCACATTTTCAAATTTAAAATCTGATGTTTCGTATTTGGGCCACCATCATCAACTTATTTTTTTTCAAATACGGGCCTTATTGTTTTCCTATTTCAGATTTTCAGAGCTCCTGATGTCCCAAAACCTATGATGTACCGCATTTATTCGAAAAAATATATATATATATTTTTTTTCTTTCAGTTATTAGTAATTTCCTACAGAAATTCTCTTCTCTGTCTCTCTCTAACACAGTAAATTCTTATAATTATTAATTTTTCGAATAAGTGCAATATGTCATTGTTTTTGGGACATCAGAAGCTTATAAAATCTAAAGTAGAAAATAACGATCTGCATTTAAAAAAGTAAAGTTGATGATGGTGGCCCAAAGAAGAAACGTCAAATTTTAAAATTGATAAAGTCATCTCGTAGAGTAGGAAAAGTGGTAACGATGAAGTGGCATTTATTTTGAAATATCTCCTTTAATAAGCTCAGGAAAAAATAAAATCGATTTTGCAAAATTTCGGGTTTTTTTCAGATATCTCGGAAAATGTTCGGAATTTTTCAAATGTCCAAAGTACCATTTTATTAAGCGTTAAATTGTTGAGTTTTTTCCTGATTTAACCAACATTGTAATTCCAACCGTTCTCCATCAGATCCTAATGCTATCCCATCCTTATCTTGGACACACTGTGTTGTATATAGACTGTGAGATAGGGACTGTTTAGTGGAGTATTTTTTTTTGTCTGGCATTTTGAGGGCTGAATGTGGCTCGTTAGCTGATGAGCATATGGGTGATTTTAATACCTGCTCCCCGTTCGAAAATTTGGAGAAGAAAAAAATTGATTTACATGAAGAATAAAAAAGATTGACATTGATAAATAATTCACCCATAAAAAATACCAGATGCTTTTCAATAGCTGCAAAAGTGGGGATGAGTGTCAACTTCCAAAAGAAATGAAAAGAACCTTCCGCGTTTACTTTTTGTCTGACAATCGAGAGAATAAAAGGTTTTGTTGTGAAAATAACGCTGAAAAATCGCCAGACGGTAATCACAGTTCGAAATCGTGTTTTCCGGCGAAACATTCTGTGGATATTTCGAACAGGGAGCAGGCATCAAAACCACTTATATTCACATCAGCTAACTAGCCACATTCACCCCTAAAAATGCCAGACAAAAAAAAAATGACTCCGCTAAACAGGCGCTATCTCAGGGTCTAATATGTGATGCATGAGAAATTATGTCAAAAATTATTCATAAATAGGTGGGTATGAAACATGGCTATCTAACAAGAGTTTGAATCGTAGTTTGATTTGTCAACTTCACAAAATTCACCAATCCCTTGTGTAGATATCGCTTAAACTTTCCTCTATAGTCTAAAACAATTCTCGGTTTCAAAAACTGATTACTAATACTTACAAACTACGCACTTCATATGCAAAACTATAAATCTCTAGAATTCACGCACCTAAATTATTTAATGTATCTGCATCAATGTAATTCCGTAATATAAAAAAACGTTCACTTATCAGTCAGCCTGTGTATTTGGAGCTTTTTTTAATATGTAGTTTTGTCGTGTATATTTAGATATACACGTCTGATGGTGCATCCCAAATCGGTACCATTGTACATCAATGGGATCCTGTATCTGTTAGATATCAATTACTTTTACAAATGCCCAGTTCAATAACCGACAATCGACATAAATCTTTGTTACTTGGAGCAGCTTTTCTAGTGGTAAGATTATTATATTATATATCATATACATGCTGAGCCAATAAAAACAAAACAAGCCAATTCATGGATAGTTATGCTTTGTGTGTGGTTTTTCCACAACACGTATTTTGGGTTTTTTTACAACTGTGTTCAATAAAAACACGATTTTCATACTAAATAAAGAATTTAAAAACAGAAAGGAGAACAGTCCACTAGGATACCTATGTCAAGAGTCAAGACTGCAACAGTCATAGCTATCTAAAACTTCCTTTGTCAAGATTCTTGTCAAAACTCATCAGCTTTCTAAGCTCTTGACACAATCACCTTTTTCGGTTTTTCCTTAGTGTCTTCGCATTTTTATTTCTTATCCAAATTGGTATTTTATCAAACAATTAAAGATTTTCGTTAGCGATGACTGAAAATTTCTCTATGTCTTTAATTTATAGTCAAGTGTGTTCTCATCAAACCACTCTTGATGTTTATTTTCATCGAGTCATGTAGCATATATTGCGGTCTTCAATATATTCCAGTGCTCCTCAGTGCCGAAGTTTCTGGCTTAGAGAGACTTTGAAGTTTGTCCTGATATGATCGTCTTGAAGGAGTTCAATGGTAAATTTGCGTTTGAACTGCTTTTTTTGACATCTTCGCCTTGGTAGAATGCGCAAGTTCATTCTGGCTCGTTCCAGCCGGAACGTACAATTATATACCTAATCGATTAGATGCTAGTGCTTTGACCTAGGGTGTTGCCAGGAAGTCTTGAATTTTTTCTTTTGCCAAAAAAGTGTATTCGACATTATAAGGCCATATTCTGAGCATGTGGTTAGTAGCCGAACTCCGTTCGAGTTCATTTTACCGACCCCTTTCTCGCCGATCACACCTTTCCATAGATCTGACTGTGTACTGACCTGGGCGTTAAAATCACCTAAGAGAACAAATTTATCAGATCTAGGTACAGATGATATGGTTTCATAAAGCTGGGCATGAAATTCCCCTTCTTGGTTCTCGTCAGTTGTGATCATTGTTGCGTAGGCGCTGATTGGCATAACTTGTTGGTTGTTGCTGAGGTTAAGCCGCAGTGTCATCAGTCTTTCGCATATTCCGGATGGAAGCTCAGCAAATGGTTCATCCATTCATTTTTCATGGCGAAACCGACTCTGTGGATTCGACGTATATTCTGTATTCTCTTTCTTCCCTTTCCAGAAAAACGTTTAGCCTCCTCCGTGCTCCTTGAGTTGACCTTCGTCTCTTTAATTTCCATGCCACCATTGGCGTTTTTCATTGTGGTCTTGTATTTGTGCTGGTATCCAAGTGTATGAATATTCCACTTGAAAAGATTTAAATTTTTAGGGGTTAGTGAGAGTGCTACTCACTACATTGAAAGATGGATACGCAAAAATATTTCTCTTTGAGAAACTCCAAAAATAATGTTTTATTTTCATTGGCCATTCTAGAAACGTTAAACCATTTACTAGAAGTATGAATACTATTGTTTTTTTTTTTCAGGAATACATGTTTTTCGAGAGCTCTCGCAAAAAACTTAGCCTAGGATGCGTCTGTTGAAATTGCCTTTATTTTATATGTACCTATTACCTCTTTATAATATATTAATAATTGTAATCAAAATGACTGAGAAACGTCATTTTCATGCTGATATTTAAAATAAAAGAATATAATTTCAATTAATCAGTATTATGGTATTATGCAGTTATTGTTCTAAAAATTTGGATTCTATAAAAAGGAAAGAGAAGAATCAAATATTTATATATTTTTTATTTTGCATGTAAGACCACAGCTACAAATAATCAGTTTTCTGAAACTGGAAAATTTAAAATAATTTAATAATTATAAACAACAAAAAAAAATATACACAATATATAAAATATTTATATCTATAAACTTACAATTGCCGCTAATTTACAAATAACTAAAAATTCAACAAAACCCACAAAAAAAAAAACAAGTAGTAGATAAGCGTTTTGTTCATTTCAAAGACAGTTGTAATTAAAATGGTTATTTTCTTATTTACATTCCTAAATGTACAGAGGTTATTATAAACGGACCTAGAATAGAGGTCACCATTATGCATGTATAGTGTTTTTTGATAGGAAAGCATAATAGGTATGTGATTCGTAAAAAATAAAATTATTAATAAATTGGTTACACTGGTTACACAAAAAATATTTTATTGAATAATGACTAAAAACTGATCTTTTGCAAATATACCTATTATTAAAAATATTTTCTACTTACATTATTGCTACAAATACTTCAAATTATTTGAATATTGCCTAAAAAATGACAAATGTTTATCACTATTATACTGCATTTTATGGTTAAGTATTTTTATATTTTAAATAATGCAAAATAGATATTGAATGTGTACCTATGTATGTCTATATTACAATTTGTGATACCAAAAAATATTCTTATGTATGTGTACAAAGAGTTTCAATTGAAGCTACATAGTTTTTAATGTTTATGAATATAAATTTAATGAATTTGGAGTGGACATTTTTTCTTTACATTTTCTAAAATAATTTAAATTTGGAAATATCTTGACGCTTAAGGCTAAAGTAAAAAATACACTGATTTATAAAAAGTGAGGGAAGTGTTTGAAATTATGACATGTATTGATAATCATTAAAACTTGAAAGCAAATGTATGAACAAATCGGAAAGTTACTATATTGCTCTTCAAAAGATTTGAAGAAATCTATTATTGAATGGGCTTTTGTATAAAAAAAAAAATATACAGCCAGAATATGAGATATAATATTAATATTATACATTTTTTCTTTAAATCTTAGCACAATAAGAGTGGTACTGCCAGAATTTTTTCATATTGGCTATTTTGCTGACAAAAATACATAATTAAGTATGAGCAAACATTCTATATTATCAAAGGACTGCCTCTCCTCAATGCTATTTTAAACTCTCCTTCCCTTTTTACAATTCAATGTATACACATATTATTAACATTTATTGAACCACACGAAAAAATAATAGTCCACTCAATTATTAGAGATACAACTCCTAATTTTATTAAACTGGACAGAATTTATTTTAGAATGGACAGGTAGAAAGGTCTAGTTTTTATTCTATATGATCAATGTCAAAAGACTAATCAATTTGGACGACTAAACCTTGGTTGTGGTTGGTGATTTAAAACACATCACTGAGCAATAATAATTATATAAATCATATTGGACTAGAAGATATTGCGTCTTATACAATAAATGTAACATGGAATGCATTGGTTAATGAATAGAGAATAATTCCCTATTCTCTTAATAATTTTAAAAACTAATTCAGCTTATTACTTTTCCATGTTGATATTATGGGTGGTAGATAAATCACATAATAATTAAATACAGGATGTTTTATCCAAAAATGTGATATTTTGCAGTGTCAAAGTAACAAAAATTACAAAATGTAGTTCAATCAGGAGGTTTTTTTAATAGTTTTCACCATTTTTTTGTAAGAGCTTGTCTGCACAGATAAGCATTGAGAAATTTAAGAGTTTTCTAATGACCTATACATTTTTTTTCAAGAGTGGGTAGATGGTTTTCTGATGGTTCATTTACAATTTAGTTTTGTTTGGAAATTTAGCACATCATCAATAAATCTTAACTCATCCTCTCCAAACCACATCTTGTTACCTTCGTGGTTATTCAAACGGCAAAATTCAATTTTTTTGGCTCTAGCACCCTCTATATGGCTGAATCAAATTTAACAACATTTATTTTGCAAAAAATATCAGCAAAAATATATCAGCTATTGAGTTTACCCTAATCTAAAGACACAGATAATTTTTAAATACTTTATGCCTGACTTCTAATTTCATAATTTAATGTAACATATTATTCTCTTATAATCTAAAAATTGGCTTAGATTTATAGCACACGCAAAATTATGTTTTGTTGAATGCGGTCCAACAAAGCTAGCCAAACTACACAAGACTTAACAGTTGGCATATTATAAAATTGTTTGTTACTAAAAAAATAACGTGTAGCTTGGTGATTTTGATAGTGCTCCTGTGCGAACTAACAATATCACAGAAATAAATGCTTAAAAACAAGAAAACCTAGTGACGCAACAAACACAACTTGGTCAGTGCTTACAAGTGTTTGTTCTAAAAATATAATGCTACAATAAAAAACAAGAACAATCTACCACACTCTTTAGCAACACTTATTTTATTTCACTGGTCAATTGTGCTGTTACAGAAGCAGAGGTAGATATGTATGTGGCTGAACATATACAACAAAAATTATTGCAGAGCTTGTTGGCTTCTTTTTTCTGTATCACTCGAGGGATAAAAACTTTTGGATTTTTTCGATAAAAGTTGCAGTTGTTTATTGATAATAAAATACCCTAATAGCACAAAGAGGTCACAAAGGCGAATGTCAAAAAATCAAGGAATTTACAACGGACGCTTGCTTTTGAAAATGTTCATGAGGTAACTTCCACCACACCTGCTGAGCATCTTGTCTTGATTTGATTTTAGTAAATTGATATTATTGTTAAGGTAATTTTAATGCAAGCAGTACAATTAATTTTTTTTCTTCAACTCTCTATGAATGAGAAAACTTAACAATAACCAATTTAAGTGCAAAGTATGCGCGACAGAGAATTTCCATCAAATTGGCGTAAAACTATAGGAGGTACGTTTTATTTTAAATTATATGAATAACAACTATGTAGATTCCTTTTATATGAGAACATAATAATAAGAAAAAAATTGGATGGTCATTTTCAGAAGGTAAAAGGTCACTTGATATTTTCCTTTGTGCCATACATAAATATTGGTTTAGAAAATGTTCAACTAAAAGTTGCAGTGTGCGTGCATTTACCTCAAAAATAGTTCCGCGATCTCTAATAAATAGAAATTATCTACATAACTACCTACATTGAGTACAGTTATTAAATGAGCAACATTTTTAGGGTAACATATTCAAAAAATTTTGTAGTAACTGAAAGTTCTGAAGTTAAACAGACATCAGAAACACATACCTAGATTGGACCTTTTGTGCAACTAAGGTAAGTCATTGTCTTTAAATATTGCTATTGCAAGTTATTAAATTTTGCCTAGGTACAATTTACCTATGATCCTCAATTATCTTATTATAAACTCTCATCATAATTGATGTTTACCCCTCAATTAAATAATAATTAAAATATTACCTATGGAATAAATAGCGTGCAACACAAACAGTGTATAAAGTGCATATTTGGAACTATAAAATGGCAAGGACGATTACATTTTATGCCATGCCATGGACGGCACACGTACAAATATAAATGTGCCAGGTTAATCCAGGGGCTAATGGAAGCAATTAGGGTGGATCTAATGGATGGTTATATAATGAGTCTATATAATAAAATGGTTTCTCTAAAATTTGGCTTATACCAATAATCGATTTTTTTATTTTCTGAAAACTGCGATTCTTGTGCCCCAACTGAAGCCAAATATACCTATGTTTTTCAGAGTTAATGTTGCTTTACTTTGCCTTTGAGCTCACTCGAGTTCCAACGTTGTTTAATCCGCTATTCCTTGACTTTGATCTTTGCAGAGTGCCATCTAACAAAATAGATAAAAACAGTGTATTTTGATATGCTTTCCGAAATATAAAAGTACCTACCTTTATAAAGCAAGTTGGCTGCTTTATCCAATCTCATTGCCCTGCCTCTACGGTCGAGAGTTAATTTGTCAGCTCTGACAAACATTCCGTGTTTTGGTTTGCAAGTAAAATAACGAACTTCATTGATGCTCCCATCATTTTTACCTAGAACGAGAAATTAGAGTGACGGAAATAATTTCACAGCTTGAGTGAGTAAATTAATTAATTAAATTAATAACAATGAATATTAAAACATTTAAGAAAATTATTGATGAAAAGCTACGAACGTGAGTATTATTTTTGTTTGTTTTCTCCACTTCGATCTTAAAAAAATATGTGTCACCTAATTTAATGCCTCGAGTATCAAGTATGTTCAACTTTTGAATGAACTAAATTAAAATTCACCTTTAGGTGCATCTAGCTCTACTCCAATCCAAATTCCCGATGCGAAATCGGTTTCGCCAATATAAGCAACCACCCCAGATGAATTGGAAGGCCTGATAAGAACACTTTCACCCAACACGACCCATTCAGGGACTGGAAAATCTGAAATTTTGGATAGGTCATGTCTTGACCCATAGCTACTATGCCGATCATCTAAAAAATTGTTATTGATACAGTTGACAGACAGAAAAAACATTAGTCTTTTCTGACCTTCAAATCTGTCCGAAGAAGTGTTCATTAAATCAGCTTCATGTGATGATATACTTAGACTCATATTATCCAATTTCTCCATTGACCGATTTCTCAAACTGGAACGTCGTTGTGATGCCGATAAAGATTTCGCAATAGAATTTTTTGTAGAATGTTTTTTTCTTCTCACTACCCTACCAGGTGACAAACTTAGTTTAATTATATTTTCTTTTTCTTGTGTTAAGTTTGAATCGCTGTTTGAACTCTGCACCATATCTTCTGAACTTTCTTCATTTGTAGCTGTGTCTTCTGTGTCATCTTCCGGTAACGTTAATCTCTGGATGAAAAAAATTAATTCCCTATATCTAGTGGATCATGATATTCACTTACCATAACATGCGACACAACTTTTTCAGCTCTTAAAATGGACTGTGCTTCCACATGAAGAGGTTTACACTCCAAATCAGGTGTATCGTCGACACTAATACTTTTTAAGGACAAAGAGTCGTCACTAGAAAGATTAGTGATTGATACAGCTTGGGAACCGTATCCGCTAGAACTAGCGGATGGAGTGCTGGTTTTGGGCGCTAATTCGGTGAGAGAATCTAAGGTACGGGATGTAGGTAAAAGGGCCCGTTTTGTACTCTTTCCACCCCGATGATTATACTAGAAATATAGCATGATTTCATTATAATTTAGCCGTTAACAAAACAAAAACAACTAGCATTTTGATATGCTTTCTTAAATTCAATGGTGGATCTTCTCAGGTATAGAGGATTGAGGAATTGTTTCTTACCTGGTGACTTCTTTTGTCATCTAAACCATCTTCTCCTTGTTCCTCAATGAGCTCGTCAAGAAAATCGAAAGAATGCTTTCGTGGCAATGTTTTTGAGGGCTCTTCATGCAGGGTGGTCATTCTTAAGCCTATCTTAGCATTGGCTGGTGAAGTTATACCAGAGAAAACTGAAAAATTAATTATTTTAACATCTAACAAGCAGCAAATATCACCTACTACTACCAGCATAAATCTACTCAAAAATAAACAAAATCAGTGTTAAAAATATGTAACTGATACAACAAAATAGAATAAAAAACACATGTCATATTGTGTGACGAAAATATAAAAAAGACCAATCCGCTTTAACTAAATAAAATCTACAATCAAACAAGAAATGAAAATAGCATGGGTGTCAATTGCTTTACAAAAACGTACTTTTGGTAGCGCTCGTTGGCTGTTGCAATCTTAGGGAATTCAAATTTAAGTTCAGATTTAGGAATGTGGGGCGGGCTGAAATATTAAAAATATTTATTTATTGGTTATTTAACATCAGGTATTATAAAGTTCCACGATCCTATCTACTCAAATGGCGATTTTTACACTTTTGAAATAATACAATGACCATTTTAAAGTCAAAGAGACATTTTTGATCTATATTATATAGGCTAATAAAATAGTGGATTTTTTTCTATTAATCACTATCAAAAACTTGTAATAGAGTGTATTCTGCATTATCTAAAGCATTTTCAGTAGGTTTATTTTGTATTTTTGAAAATTATGTTTTACCGAATAAATAAACTGTATACATTTTATATGCAAAAATAAATCTATTACAAATCTGTTTATCTCTCTGGTTTTACTAGCCTACAAACAACAAACAATCATGCATTAAGATTTGCCAATTGATACAACTCGAAAACAACAATTTATGTTTCTTACGTATTTTAGCTGAAACGTAACAATCTTTTGGTTATTTTTCATCAGAACTTGGGTAGAAAAGATGTAGTGATATCAAAAATTGAAACAAAATGTCTGAAATTTAATCTAAAATCACATGATTTGGATTTCAGAGGAATAAAAAATAATAGAAGTCACTATTTACATTATGAGCATCTGCAAGTGACGAAACTTACTCTAAACGTTCAAGTCTAAGCGCCATCCTTAGCTGAGAAAAAATGCATCAACAAATTTGATAACTCTACAAATAAGTTGTCCTACTATACAATATTCCTCAATTCTGTTTTTTTTTTCTGTAGAGAAATTTTGAAGGCAAGTTATAGTTCCAGGTCCTAAGCCATTGACAACTCATATTAATAAATTAATAATGGTATTATCACCAATTATTTGATGCTAAATATTTGTTTTTTGTTGTTTGTATGTTGTTGTTTGTTACATTTTAGCCCTAATTACCGCGTTTATTTTCCATAAACCACATAAATACTTGATTCAAATATATTGGTTTATTTTGAATCAAAATAGTTTCTATTTTGTAGGTTGAAACAGTCTAACTTATGCTCTCTACGCATGCTCAAAATGCTCGCGATTTTGAATAAATTTTGAAGACAACTCAGTCAAATTCTAACAGTCGCAAAAACATATGATCCCCAGTACATCGACCTTTGGATTTTGTAACTCATGTACACGCCAAACTCCCTGAGCGGCTTCCTAAGACCAAGTCGGATAATTTTTTTCATATCTTAAACCTGGGCGATGGGACATTTTCGCGCGCTAGCTCCTCGTGAAGTTTTCGTTCTGACGTCCCTAAAAAGGGCGATGAGTTACAAAATTCAAAGGTCGATGTACTGGGGACTAATATCTTTGATACGACAAATTAATTATGTAGATAAATGTAAAGTCTCTGTGACTTCATTACAATAAATGAAGTGAGAAAACATTTGATTAGGAATGAAAAAATGCTTCCTGCTGAAGATGACAGATGAGGAAATAATGGGCATTTTCATTTACCTTCAATGGGCTAGATTTGAAATTTGGAATTTTTTATATTCTTCTAGAGATTATTTTAAGAAAACTGTACGTAAGCACGATATTTATTAGTAATAATAATTATAATCAATTATTATAACCAAAAGCCTTATATATTTGTTTTGTGTCTTATAAATGAAACTATATTCACACCATGCTGTAGCGTGCTGTATATTTTGTACAAGTGATTGGATTACACTTTTTTTTACATTTTATACAATTTCTCAAGAAAAGCTTCTTGGCAATTTGAAGAAGGTATACCTACCTAAACAAGTGAACCAATAATTGCTTCAGAAACTTTGGCAATTTTTATTTTAGTATGTGGTTTGATAATGTAGTAGGGCTTCAGAATATATCAATAAGTTAACAAAGCAATTTTTCCACTCATTTACTATGTTTCATGACAAAAATATCTACTTTGGTATCTATATATAGTATTTTTCGACTATGAAGTCTAAAAAATTGTTAGGCAAAATAAAAATAAATATCCCTAGTAAGCTAAACTTTTCCAAGTTGGTCCAAATAAACCTGTATACAGTTACGGAGGTTGGTATGATGTGGGCACCGAAAAAAAAAAAAAAAAAAAACCAACAAAAATACCCTATTTATTTCATTTGTTTTGTCTAGATTCGTGAAAAATACTATATATAAGTGATATAAGATTTATTTTGGCTAATTTATGAATCTGATATGCTTGTTCCGAAACAAAAATGGATATACTGAAACAGTATATAAGGACTTCAGTTAAACCCAAAAATATAGCAACTTATTTATAAACCAAACATGCTCGGTTGTTAAAAATCTACGTCTCCTCTACAGACTACAACATTGTTCTGAGTCGCATTAATGCAACTAATACTCAAAACCTTGTCAGTAATAACTGATTCAAGCACTTTAATTTTCTCTGTATAACAGTTACTGGTATTCATCTATTGTTAGCAATCTTAAAAGGCAAGCCTCCATTTTACCTGATAGAATGGAGCCTTGTAGGGGGGCACAAAGAAAATTTAATTATCGTTAGTCAAAATAAATACCTGTATTATTAATGTTTCTAGGTTAAAAAAGCTTATCGTTTCAATTCTTGAAATAAATTTCTGGAAGGTTTTATAAGAACAAAGTTCAGGAGTGGCAGACGTTTCGGTCTTAGATTACCAAACGTTGGCCAATGCAGTTATCTGATTTTATGTAGTAAATGAGTACCTATGTAGGTTCTTTCCTTAACCAGAGTCTAATCGAATTTCTCAAGTAAATAAATTCTATTCTAAAACTATAATAATAGTAATATTAACATGTATTGATAGAACATTGTATTATTAATTTTTTTTGCTTGTCACCGCTCATTATACTGTGTTTTGGAATATTGGAAAATGTTTGGTTCCATTTTATAAATGTACAAAACAATCAGTAAGGATGTTATTTGTTTAGAAATAAGACAAATAAAAAAAAATTAACCTAAAACTTTTTGATAGCTTTATTGTTAGAGGTCAAGAATGTTGCTTGCTTTCTAAAGGACAGCCAATGAAAAACGGTTTTTAGGTTGTAGTTTCATAAAAAACCAGTCGAATGAGCGCTGATACTATGCATAAAAAATATGTAAAAAGTTACATGCTATATTAGACGATCATACCAAAATAAGTTTCATTACCTAAATATAACATGGAATAAATCTATTCTAAATTGTACCTAGTTTCTTCTGATCTATTTATTCACTGACTATACTATAAAATCGCTTTATTATTTCGTAGTCGTAAAATATAATTCATTGATGCATTACTTTGTAATTTTAAATTATTTTAATAAAAACAATAATGCACTTACCCAAACCTCCATAAGTTTTGGGTGGTGTAATTTCACTATCTTTTCCTATACTGCTTCTTGATCTCAAAGCAGTTATACCATGCAGTTCGCTGTTCAAATCCGAAACACTTTCTGACCTTGACATGTGTAAGGATTCGGTGCTCAAAGTATCAAATCTCAACAGCTGAAATTTGAGAAAAAAATGCCAATTAACCTATGTAATGACAAGTAGTCAATTTCACATTGCCTACATAACATGAGGAAATCTAAAGTGAATATTTGTTCTAGACCTACCCCCTTTGTTTCCAAAGTCTGTGCAGCCAAAAAAAAAGTGAAATAGTTAAATTAGTACTGTTTTCTAATAGAATAAACTGTGCCTGGATTAAAAGTAAGTAAAAGTTAAATACTGTGAGTAAATAATAATAAATTTGGGAAGGTACCTACATACTAAAGCCAATTGGGTACCTGTAAACCGAAGGTTAATTTAAAAAAATCCTACCTGAGAGATATTTGGAACACTGACAGTTTTCCTCATGAGAGGTTGTCCTTTGGCTTGTAACAGTTCTTTAACAGCTACACTCTGACGTAGACGATCCAAAGTTAAAATACTTTCAACTGCACTCACTCCCCTAGTGTATTTTTCTAGAACATAAAAATCATATTTGGAATAGAGAATATTTATTAATAATACTTATTATTGTAACTCATGACTACCTATGTAAGTTTCTCCATCACACAAAGAAGTACTGTTATCCCCAGAAGCTGCTAACTGAGCAAGACTTTCCCTATCTTCTAATTCTTCACTAGCTTTCGGTACGTTAGATACAACTAAGTAAGTAACACCACAAGTTGTTACAAGATCGGTTCTCACTATCCTTTTTTTAATTCGTTCTGTTAGACTTTGCTTCTTATAAATGTTGATAGCAAGACGTTTTCTTAATACCAAGTCCATTGGTGCTGGATGTGACAAGCGGACTGTTATTCTCAATATCATATAAACTCTTTCGTTAGCTGAAAGAATAATTTGTCATTGTTATTGCAAGTAAGGAATACGAAACTTACGTTCTGTAATTTTATTAAGGTATTGACTATCATGAATTGAAGAATCCCAGCTGGCAACGGCGCATACGTCCTTTTCCAAATGTTGCAAAATTTTAAGTTCATAAAATTGTCTTCCATCCTCTTTTGGTAAAATAGAATTTATACCGGATACTGTTACTTCTTCTCCAGATGGATGAGTGGAAAGATCGTCGGCTAAGATAAGATATCACACACTTATCACACACTTCGAAGTTTTAAGAAATTTGATAAAATTCCAAGCTTACCATTTAAATCTAAAAACAATACTGGAATATGTGGTTCCATCCCAGGAGGTGGATTCCACTTTGCTGGTGCACCAGGAATACCAGTTCCTGGCTGTGGTACATATACTGCATTTGTTTCTTCAGTCAAATTAACTAATTGTTCCATAAGACTTTTTTCTCTTTCAAGATCTTGTTCTGTCTTATCAGCTTTCTCAGATAAATTTTGTAGTTGGGAGTGCAGATATTGCTTACGCTTTTGTAGTGCATCATTCCATTTTTCTCTCAAAGCTGTGAGATCTTCTTCTTGGTAAGAATCCAAAGGTTTTTGAAGACGATTCCTTACCATTACGCCTCCTACTTCTATTTTAATTATTTGCTGACATATAATCGGCAACGTGCCAGAGTTTTGAGTTGGTTTTACTCTTACGTGTATTCTTCTTTGCTGTCCTTGCCGTAGTTGATAAACACCTCCAGTTAACATATCATTTTTCATGAGGACTTCCACAGCAGCGTATTCTCCTAAATCATTTAGCTCTTGAATTTCAACCCATAATTCTATTTTTCTAGTTAACTCTGACCATCTGTCAATTAGGGATCTCGCAGTTGCCAGTTGTTGTTCGACTTCCCAACCAGGTTTGTATTTGGAAAAACCTGCACTTCTGTTCCCCCATACTTCTATGGATAATGCTCCTTCTGTAAAAAAAAAGTTTTTACTGCCTTGAGATGAATTTCTTATTTGAATGCAAACATTATTTTATAATGAATGTTTGTATATTGCCCTTAAAAATAAATAATTCTGGATCTAGCCAACACTATCAAATTTCGAAGAAATCGTGTCCTGTATAATATAACAGCAATACTGTTAGATTTCTTCACATATACTTACTTGCTGAGGACGAATAAAAGCTTTTACAAATTTAATAACTGAAATATTTCTTTCACAACACGTTTTAATGTTTTCAAGAAGTTTATTTACAAAGTGATGAAATTTCCTTAAAAATATCACAGACCAATCTTAAATTATCTGTGCATTCCATCAAATAGACTAACAAAACATTAATTTAAATAATAAATTAGGCTTTCTTGTGAATTCCACCCGAAGAAAATCTTAAACCATGTGTATAGATACGGATGAAAACTGATGAGTTACCTCCATTGATGCGTATATTTCTGAATGTTCTTCACGTCCCGCATTAGAGAAATTAGGTGCAAGAAAAGCTCTTAGCTTAGCATTAGGAAACAATAGGGTGATGCGCACATTGCCAATATTACTTCTCTAGCTGTGAAAGTGCTAGGATTCATCACTTGATTACTTATTCACAACTGACACTCTATTGTTGCTTGGTAAGGAGCATTCCAGAATACTGTCCAGTTTTTGGGAATCGCTCTCACTCTCGTGCAGATTGAAACAATCTTGTACAGAATGTCAATAATTTTTATCAGTTTTAGCAAATTGAAGGTGATAATCTAGGAAATCCTTTTGATTTTAGATGCAATCTGCATTTTAACCGGTTCAATTTTAGTTTACTCAACCATAAAAATTAATGCAAATCCTGTTACTTGACCTTTAAAACATACCTACTACATACATGTATTGTTTGTTTGTTTGTTTTTGTTTAACCAAGTTTGCATACTTTTTTTTTTTGAAACATTCTTTATTCATCTTAATTCTTAATACAATATTTTATCCATAACATAACAATTTCTCTAATCAGTGCTAGAAGCTCTGGCCTCGAGAATTAAATACTTTAACAGTGTTTGTACTATGTAACTTAAAAGATTATTCAAAAAAAAAAAACATACCTGCACAGTGTTCTATGAACTCCTCTGAAAGAGTAACTGTAAATTCTCTTGAATCTTCAAATTTAGCATTAGTGGAATGGTTCTGATTATTTTCATACGTCGTTTCAGCAGAGTTCTTGTCAGGTACTACAACTGATTCGTGATTCCAGAAGGTGTAATGACAGAAAACGAAGTGAGACAATGAGATAGGTAATCCGGTTGCTTGTTTTATGTGTACACGACATGTTAATGAGGAGCTAACTGGGTCGTCATCTTCGTGACTGCAATCTGACAAATTGTCTGAAGCAGCTTCACAAATTCTATCTTGGGGTAAGGCACCTGCCACACGAGTTAACTCAACCTGAAAAAATAGCACACTTGAGCAAAGTCATTTATTGATGTAATTGAATATTCAAATAAAAATTGTTGTTATTGAAAAATTGCGTACCTGTAAACGTCCTGCCACTTCTCCTTGTTGGCTTATTATAGGTGTATGGTAATCCAAACTTACATCATAAAATAGAGCTTCTAAAAATATATTTGCCACACCAATTAAATTGTGATTCTCTTGTGATTCAAAAAATGGATCTTTCCCTAACAATTCATCTTCCTCCTGAAATAGAGTTTATGAAAATTGTACTCGCCTTATGTAATAATGTAACTTACACTAAAACTATTTGTCCTGCTTTGGTCCTCATAGATTTCTCTCATATCAATGATTTTGTTTTCCAGTTTCTCCATAGACCATACCTGACTAGAAAGGCCCCTTTTCACTAAAATGGCTGGTTCGCTAACAAATGCTCCTTTCTAAAATAATTACCAAAAACATGTTACATATAAATAATTACGTATAAAAACAATACTAACTTACTTACCTTTCTATTTGGACTTAAATTAGCAGGAGGTATTTGCAAAGTTACACTAAATTTAGTCTGCCGTCCCATTTCTTCCGACAAAAAATTAGCTTCTTGCACCAAAGAATTCGCTCTCAAAATGTCTTCCTTGAGCTGCCCAATGCTTCTTCTAAACATTTCATCACGCTCTTGTGCCCATTTCTCTACTCGCATCTGAGTAGTGGGTGTGCAGGGGGTTGTTTTACCAAAACCTATCCTCAATGGATCATAAGAATATGGAGAATATGGGGTAGAAGGTGATACCATGTTACGAAATTGTTGAAATTGTCTTTCATATTCAATTCTTTGTTTTTCTAATGCAACTAAAATTTATATTGATTTTATTTCAGGTATATAAAATTGTTGATAAATATTATTTTACCTTGTTTATCTTCTTCATGTTGTTTTTCTAAACGAGCTATCGCAGCTTGTATAGGATCATTACTAAGCTCGTTGGACATAAGCTCATCTCGTGCAAAATTATAATCGATATTTTGTGCTGGAGTTTGAGGCTCGGATGTAGCAGCTGCAAAAGGAATAATACTCTAACAAACGTGCTAAGAAAGTTGGGAATTGTTTCCACATTAAAAGTTTTCTTCTTGGAAAACTTAGATATAGTTTCAAAATACTAAAGCCTGTCTCTGCAACAGGTAAAATTTAGTAAATCTGATTTTTTTTGTTATACTAGATATTTGATGTTTGGTATATTATGTAGAATATAAAAACTAGGTACTCGCAAACGTTAAGTAAAGTATTCTAGAAACTGTCAAAATGCTAATTTTTTGTAGGTAAGATAAGCCCAAAATACTTACAAATAGATCTGGGGCAGTTAACTCTGAAATAATGATGATTTCCCCAGACAATTCTGTCTCCATGTCTCAATTGTGTTTTCTGACTAACTTGAGATCCATTTACACAGGATCTGGCATTGGCAAGAGGTTCAAGGAACAATCCATTTTCTTCTATAGTAATTACACAATGTTCTGGCTGTATACCCAAACCTGAGAGTTGTATATCAGGCTCAAAATCTGATCCCGATGTTCTTTGTCCAACTACAGTGCGATCCTTTAAGTAATATACTAACAATTCATTCAGGTATGGATCTGCATTCAAATTTACTAGATAGTATTTATTTTTCTCTACTTTAATGCCAGAATCTTGAATGCTAATGCCCATTTTCTCTAGAGCTTGCTGTCGCTCATTTTGTATTCGTTCCGTTTTCATTAATTTTTCTTCCCAGGTTTGGGATACTTCTTTATAAAGCTTCTCACTCTCACTTAATTTTTGGTGGATGTCCACTCGTTGTATGTCACCTACTGGAGAACCCTGTAAAGACAATTTCAGTTAATATAGATTTGTGAAATTTCCAAACTAGCTTACTGTTGCATGTTTCAACATCTCCTTCAGAGTCTCAACTTCCGCTCTTAATTCTCTAATCATCCGGGCATTAGGATCTTCATTAACCACAGCATGATTAACAATTCTCTTTGCCCTGTCAGCATATCTCAAAGTGGATAAAGTTTCTTCAAAATTGTCTGCCGCAGGTGAAATTGTAGCCACCATCACAGTCTTGCTGTTACCTCCTAAATTATCTTTAAGTAACCAGGTTAATACTGAGTCCCTGTATGGCACAAATTTGTCCTTTTGTTTGCCAGACGACTGATCTGCCAGTTTAGAGATGACTAGACCAAGAGTAGTCAGGGATTTGTTGATGTTAGAACCTTCTTTAAGTCGATCTCCTACTGCTCCAGTTTTCACAGCTCTTTCGGATCCAGCTAGATCTACCAAAGACATTCGACTTACTTTTTCTCCTGTCACTCCACTTTTGGTGTCTAACAAAGTTTGAGTTAGGATTACAGTGAACACTGCATGAGATCGAGACGATTCACTATTCATATTCGTTGCTGCTACAGTCCTTGATTTATTGCCTTCTGCCATTAAGTTATCGATGTCCTTAACAATAAATAATTTCCATTAGTTAGTTTAGGTGAAGAAATCAAAGAAAATTTTATGAAACTAACACTAATCTCACCTGAAATGCTGTTACTGCAAGCTGTGATAAGCCATCCACATAAGGTCCCAAAACATTGTGCTCGCGTACTTTTAGGGACTGTTTGTTGGTTTGTGGATCTAGTAGATCGTGCACCTATAAAATCAATATTTGTAATACAATCGCGTGCCTTTGTGTAACCGACATTATCTTGCATACTAACCCGTTCATTATAAATTTCCATGTAGCTCACTTCTACTTTATAAGATAGTTCTGAATTTTGTCGCTTAGCTATTAGATCAAATAACGTGTCGCATAGCCTTGGTATAATGCCTTTGCTGTCTTGTGAACCCATCATAGTATAAGATTTTCCAGAACCTATAACAGATGGTTTAATATTGAAGTGTTGTTTAAAAATAGCTTGGAGGGGCTTCTTGAATATTTCATATAGGTAACTACAATTTGCTTTTAGTAATGGCAGACTCAAATGCGACTATAAACAGAGTATCTGTGTCAACTCCGCCATTTGTGATTCCTAACCTTTTGCTATTTTTTTTACGTCTTTGGCTAGTGAATTGCAATAAAGATTGGTTATTATTATTATTATTATTATTATTATTATTATTATTATATTATTATCTACTAAAATAATGCGAAAAAATTATTTACAATGTGAATATGTTTTATTAAACCTTCTTAAAAATTAAATTCTATCGTTTTCTATGCTGCCCTATTGTATTGTAGGTGTTTCCTCGTCATCATCCTTAGTTAAACTAGACAAAGAGGGCTCTATATTCGTCCCATGATCGAACCAGAACCATTCTGCGGAGTAGACAAACCCATCGCCAACAAAATCAACAGAATTGTTTATTATTTTATCTAATGTTCTATTTGAATTGTTTAACCAGTCTCTCTATGGTGAGTGAGACATGTTAAACCATGTACAGATGTAGATAATATATTCAGTAAGTCTGTTATGAGATTTAAAGAAAAAATTTAAGAAAGATTTTTAAACAGATTTATCTGTAGACAGTTAATATATGGCTTAAATATTAAACTTGGTTTTTGTATGGGTAATGCTAAAGCCTGTTTTATAATGTCTGCTCTGTCCCACTATTTCTTTTACGTTATATAACAGTAGATATACCTATAATAGGTACACTTACATGGAGACCTAAATACAAGTGGGTATAGACTCGAGCTCACTAAATTCAAAGAAGAGGAAGAAGAACAAGTGGGTATATCGATTTAAAGGAAATTTCGTTGAAATTTCCATGTAGCTTAATATTATTTGGACTTATTGTCGTAATACATGGTAAACTGCTATTTTTAATAATAAGGGATATTTTCATTTATATAAATATAGAAGACGGTCTCGGTGGTGAAAATAAATTCAAATTCAAAAACAACCCTACGAAAATTATGCCCAAGGGAAATTTCTTTCTAAGAAAGCATGTGGAATACAATTCGGTGTACGGTTTGAATATAAATATTCCCATATTATATATATTTCCACATAGATGTATGTATAGAGCACTCACGTTTAGAAAATCGATAGTTTTGGCACTAGTTGCGTGTTTATGTATCTGTTTTTTATTCCAGCCCATCGCGTTACGAATCTAATTATTTTAGGGGCGAGTATTGCGTCGTTGTTATATTTGTAATTAAAATTCATGCCAACAACATGATCAAATGTGAAAAAATAATTTTAAAAATGCTGCAGAAACTAATTTTTCAGAGCCCGCAAGCCCAAATTGTTCAGATCATTATCCTATGATGGGACACAGAATTCAGATTATGGTATCAGGGTAGGCCTGAGAGTATAAAAAGCAAACATTTTCGGACCCCAAATTTTCGATGAGTAATTATCGTCACAAAATTTTTAGAAACTAACTTGGGTTAGTTTTGCTAATATATATGCCATTTTGTGAAGAGTTCGCTCAGTAAGTTAGAACATTTTTCCGAAGAAAAGTTGTACATTCAACATCTATTCTATCAGAATAAATATAATATTTTCTTCAAATGATATCTGATCCTTATGGCCATATTCAAAACAAAAATAATTACCTAAAAGATATAGGTACATACATATTTCCCATAGTGTTCTACTAAGGTTGTGTTCTAATAATGTGTTCTACTAATGATTGTTTTTTATTTTTGCACAGTTTTCTGAATAAATTTACCTACAGCATTTCAAATAATACTAAAATTAACATTTCGAGAACCATTTCATTCTACTGCACTGAGTTCTTTGTCTCAGCTTTTAATTTTCGTCGCTGCCTGTGAAAAAAAGATTTAAGTTTCCTTTTTTAGCTCCGGTTATTAGAAAAAGTAATTAGAAACTGTCAGAAACATGAAATTTCATCACCAAAATGGACAAAGAAATGATTTACAACAACAGCTTTGGGACAAATGAAATTTTGACGTCAATAATGCTGCCCTAGAAAATGTTCCTGTAATATTCTCCCCTATTTGGAAAACAATTTTATATACCAAGGCTGGGGGTGAAAAATATACAGAATGAGTTTATTTTTGGAAAATCGACCTATTGAATTTGAGATTTGATTCAGGTATCTTGTTGACAAAATCACATTTATAAATATTTTCATTTTGAAATTTTGTTTTTATGTAGGATATAGTTTCAACACATCGCGTTTTTACTCCAATCCCAAGACATCTGAAAATAATAATAAATTTACATGTAACGTTTCCAGAAATTCTTCTAGAAAACTTGTTTAATTAAAGGGCTTGATAAGAAAGTTCTAATTTGTTTTAGCAGATTGAGTTATAACCTTTCAGAGCCGTAGTCCCAAATCATTACTTCTAACCAAGCAAGTGGAGAAAGCATGCCAAAACTTTCGAGTACAACTACAATTGTTATGCAATAAAACTAACTTTGCTTTGGAGCAATTTAGATCGAAATATTGTTTCGTTTAGTTTGTTTCCTAAACCTTTTGATTCCAAAATCTGCATTCAATCTCTGTTTGTAAGAAGCAAAAATAGCTAAAAATTTTAAAAGTGTACAGTTAAATTAATTTTTCCCAGAAAACAATTCTAGTAAATTATAGCCCACATATAGAAACGAAAAACAAGGAAATTTTCGCTGCAATTCTGGCTTGAAAATGCTTTAATAGCCCATACAATGCGTACTTAATAGGCGAACTTCAATAAACAAGCACTTAGACGCGACCAATAAAAGCCGCTTCAGACCTTTTCTATAAGGATAGGATACGAAAGGCACATAAAGAATTCAGAGAAAAGTAGAACATGAATGTTATGTACTCAAAAACACTCCGTCAAAATATTTGCAGGCATCTTCTTGTTTCATAATAACGTAAAAGGTAAAATGGCGCATATGTTGTAACAGTGAACGCTTAAACAGAGACAGAGGGCTATGTATGGTAGAAGAAGTAAATCGACAATAATTGTTGATAGTTCTCAATTGGATTGTTTTCAAATCCTTTTTTGTCAGGCAATAAAATCTAGTTTAGTAGAAAAACTACTTATTGAACATCTAATCTTTAGCCACTAACGAAGTTAATATTATCCAATAATAATGAATAGGCAAAAGAAGAATAGTCTGAGCGTTTTCGGCATATCTTAGAACAGCAGAATCAGTACAAAAAAAAAATTACAAAATAAAAACAATGTGTCTGCTACTACCCTTCCATCTACACTTATCAAGTCAAAAAGTAAAGAAGTTACTTATTCTTACTTTACACAGATATTGAAAAATGAACTTTACCTGTTTGTCCATAAGCGAAAATGCATGCATTGTATCCTTGGAACGCATTGTCAAGTATATCTCTTCCTAGTGAATCGAAAACGACTTCCTGGGACGCAAAGTTTTTTTGGTTCGGATCCACTGAACAAAAACAGTGGTCGAAAGCAAAGGTTTTTGGTTGTTTTCTGAAAAAAAAAAGAGCTTAATACATATACACCATGCTACCACCATCATGTTTCATGTCATAGAAGAATCTAATAGTTCATGGTCGCCGGTCGTACTAGTCACCAAAACGGATAGTTCCTCGAAGGCTGAATGACGTTATACATAAAGGCAGCTACCCATTACCCAGGATTGACGATGCCCTCAAAATCCTAGTGGTTTTCAAGTCCAAGCGTGAAGAGTGGATATCGGCACGTGGAACTCGATAAGGAAGATGAAGAGAAGCCGTTTGGATTATGTAATGCACCTGCCACTTTTGAAAGACTGCTAATTTTGCAAAGACTCACTTGGGAGAGGGGTTTGGTATACTTGGATGATGTCATGGTGATTAGCAAAGATCCCGACGAAATCGAATGAAGCCAACCTATAATTAAATCCAAAGATGTTTCCTTCTCCAGGAAAAAGTGGACTTCTTTAGGTCAGACCAAAGAACAAACATGAAATCAGAAAGTTCCTAGGACATTAACGTTGGTTTGTCAACGATTTTGCGAAGTCATAACATCAACTAACTGAGAAGAACGCTCACTTTGAATGGATACCAGAATATCAACGGTCTTTCGTGGAGCTGACTAACAGACTGACCAGCACTCCAATTGAAGCGTATTCAAAACGGCGAAGAAGTGATAATCGGATATTTTAGTAAATGCCTGCAAAAAGCAGAGAGACTTTACTGAGCCATCCAAAGGGATATTGTGGCAGTAGTGAGACAGTTACATCCGACCATTCTGCCTTGCAGTGGCTGTTCAATTATAAAAATACGGTATGTTTAATCGCTCGTTGGTTGGGGAAATTAGAAAGTTAGGACTTTCAAATCACGATTGACATCTCTTGGAAAATTTTTCAAAGGCAAGATGAAAAAAGAGGCTGCCGAAACTCAGGCAAATGCTGTCGGAGACATTATCAAAGAAGACTATGCTGACAAGGAATTCAAAATGGGATGAGGGTGTAACCTCCATCATCCATGATAATATCAATAAAAGGAACCAATAAAAAGTAATGTATTTCTTTGTTTAGGCTCCAGTTCTACTTAGCCTCAGACTTGTTTCCATATTTAAATGTCTACAAGCAATCGATACCTCAATTTCAAAAGCCAAGCAAAAGGCCATTCACGTAGATAGGCTTGACCTATACAAAGGCAATGTAACGACTTGATGCGACCATCAGAAATTGTTTAAGGCGAACAGCGTCAAGCAAGGGAATAATAAAATAGGAAAGACTTCAAATTGTTGAAGTAGTGCAGTAAAAATGCAAAAGTAGTTTGACTCGTCTATTTACCTTCGTAATAATATTTGCAAATCAATATCATAGGGAGTCACACCTAACTAAATTCAATAAGTGAAACAAAACAAGATAAATCAATATGGGTGTAACCCCTCCATGATACTATTAATAATACCAATCAATAAAAACTAATGTTACATTCCTTTTGTTTAGTCTCCAGTTCTACTTAGCCTCAGACTTGTTTTAATATTTAAATGTCTTCGATCGATCCCTTAATTTAAATTATACTGTGAAAGGCGAACCTGCAATCAACTATCGCTTTGATAATGTTTTGGAGCACATTTAGGGGATCTCACGGAAACATTTTAAATGGCAAGGTGTCATCGCTCAAAAACATTCTTGAACATTTTGACATTAGATTCTTCTCCTTATTGCGCATTCAATAACTCTCTACTAAGGGCGAGAATGGAGAAAAAACTGTTTTTAAATAAACCTGTACTTACTTATGACATTTTGCTAATATGAAGGGTCTCACTTACCGTTCTACTTTATCTAGAATCGTAGATTGATGAATAATAGTTTGATGATCATCCATCTCTACGACGCATTGTGTTCCAAGTTCAAGTTCTAAAATAATAAAAGTTTATAAATTATGCATAATATGTATTTTTATTTAATTTTGATATCAAATGTAGGTATACATATAAGTATAGGTAGGTATTTATATATGATTTCATAAAATTATTGTCTGTCAATTTCAAATTGCAAAACACGGTTTTCACAAATTTAAAGAAGTAAACATGTATTTTTGTCATTTTATGTAATGCTTTACGACTTTCTTAATTCAGTTCCGGTTGGTGTCACTGTTTCTCAACTCATTTTTTGCCAAACGATGCTTGACGAGTTTGTTGCATAAAATTTTCCCCATAGAATATTTATAAAAGTTTATCGATGAAGCCTTAAAAGGTAATTTTCCAACACAAATCATAATTATTCTTCTTAGATTTTGCCAAACTTTGAGGATATAAGTGCTACCTACACTTTAAAAATAACTGACTCACAGTACCTACTAGTTAGTGATCATGAGTCCTGTTGAAATAGCAAGAACTTAAGGACACTCACTGATTTTTTCAAATAAGTTCATAAAAACAGATACTTCTGGTGTTAACTATTCAAAAATGGTGTCACCATCATCAAGAATATAAAATTGTTAAAATTTACAAATTTCCTTTTGTGCCAAGGTTATGAAAGTTCTAATAAAAACAATTCACGGATATTCTATAAGATTATTAGCTATGAATGTGCTCCATAGGGAGTGCGAAAATCAATCAGGTTAGCTCGAAAAATTTTTGGGTATTTGAGCCTTATGTACTTGAAATATTACCAGTTTACTGGTATTAGATAAAGCTGCAAGTTTCAACAAAGAACTTTGAAGCAATTATTTTGATTCTCACCTTTTCATTTTTATGAAGGACAGCGTTATGTTTAGCCTATAGGGTTGCAGCTTTACAGACACCTAGCAATTAGGTATATAAATATGTACCTTCCTGAAATATGGAAATAATTTTTTTTAAATTCCTAAATTGAAAGGAATGCTTCAATCGATAAACAAAAACCATTTCCTCCATCCAGAGTTTCAAATAGTAGTTATTATTTAGCAGACCCGAGAACTGTCACTATTGAAACAGCAGCAATTTGAATAATATTTAGAAAAATTGATTTGAAAAGTTTCCAAAAAGTTTATTTACTAAAAGGTAAAAAATAATTAATTCATTGGAATTATTAGTTTTATATTTTCTCCCACCCTCACATAGGTAGATACTTACTTTAACCCCCCCCCCCCCCCCTTTCTACTGTTTAATTAGGATTTGGGCAATTGTTATTTGTTAATGCCACCGTTTAAGGGAGGCCGCACACCAAAGAAACATGAAACGTGAAACATGAAACATAAAACGTGAAACTCGTTTCATGAAAATAGAACAAGAACAAACAAATACAAGTCCGCCCACCAATGAAACGAATTTGTTTCATGCGCGAGAAACATTTTTATTACTTGAAGCGTGTTTCATGAAATAGATCGCGTTCTATTTTTCCGTTTCAGTTTCACGGTTTTTGGTCATAAAAAAATTAATTACGACCAAGAATTCAATATTGTGTTCGTTTTAGTGGTAGAGCAAGATGGAGAATTGTATAAGTATAACATGGAGAAGTACTCGAATAGACAATCATAAGAAAAAGCCTGCCAAAATGTTGCCTAACAGTGAAAAGTACTGTACGGATTTACCCAGTAATGTCGTTTCCTTTATTTTTTTGGCTTTTTGACGATAATAGAAAAGTTGCCATAACAGCAGTTGTTGTTGCTCGTCAACCCTTTTCATTGTGTGCTACCTTCTATACTCCACTACACTACCAAAAGACTTTAAAAACATTATTCTTGTTTCTTCAATTAGTATGCAACAAAGAAACGGTTTCGCTTTTCGTAATTTATTGTTTCATGTTTTACGTTTCATGTTTGATGTTTCACGTTTCTTTGATGTGCGGCCTGCCTTAATCACCAAAAACCGTGAAACTGAAACAGAAAAATAGAACACGATCTATTTCATGAAACACGTTTCAAGTAATAAAAATGTTTCTCGCGCATGAAACAAATTTGTTTCATTGGTGGACGGACTTGTATTGTATTTGTTTATTCTTGTTCTATTTTCATGAAACGAGTTTCACATTTTATGTTTCATGTTTCACGTTTCATGTTTCTTTGAGGTGCGGCCTCCCTTAAGTTAAAATGTAAACTGCCATATCACTCGAATCCACCCTTGAATTTTCACCCCTAGTACCACTGGCCGCAAATCACATATTACATGGAGGGTTAGTTTCATAATATACCTACATAATTTTATATACCCTCGTAAGCTCTTTTTAAGTTAAGTATGTGAATATTACCTCAAATTCAATGTAGGTGAGTACCTATACAATATTAATCAATAGGACGAAAATGCTGAACATCGCTTATTTCAAGCAATTGAGCCGACAATCAGGTACTTGTTATATTATAGTATAAATTTAATATGGAAGCAATGGATTTTCTCTCCCAAGTTATGCATGAATCAAGTTCAAAGCTTCCAAATTCTGCCTGGATAAACATGGATTAAAAGAAAATCCTTGGTTCGATTTTTGTCAAGAGATAAGTAATGCAATCCATATTATTTTTAAAAAGTTTAGGTTTTCCTAGAATGGTGTAGTTATTGAAGCTTCTGATTGGTTGGAAGCTACACTAGCTACGTGCAGACAGTGCAGGAAGTGATATCTGATCTAATGATTTTGAGTAATAATAGGGCAGGCTCGGGTGCAGGGCTCTAAATTATCCGAATGTGTATCTATTTTACTTCTATAATGAAACTCTATAGAGCTGCAGTGTATATAAAATATTGTTTGGCACGGAATAGAAATGCTCTACAAGCTTGTGCCAAGGAAAATTTTATCGCCAGCTATCAACCCCGAATGCGGCCAAAGGTGCTCCATCCATTTGGATATGGTATCAAATGTCGCTTATAAGTGTTTTTGGTAAGAAGGACGGTAACGATTAAAAATATGTATATCCACATGAATATTTAAGAAGGTTGTGCAGACAAAGTCAATAAACCAAACAAATGCGCCCTTTACAGAAGTTCTATTTCATTTTTTGAGGACTGATATTCCTTGGGCCTAGGACAAAACAGACATAAGGAGGAAATGGAGGACGATAAACTGCTGAGAATTCGCTAAATGGATTTATTAAAAAGTTCAGGTTCATAGCCTTAACAAGCCATCAAAATTGTCGATTCTCAGGTTTCCGTTAGCGTTGACACTAACTAATCTAATCAGTTATTTTGTGAAATAATAACGCAAAAAAAAAAAACTATCAAAATCGCCCGTTTTTTTTTTTGGGTTGTTCGATGCTGTCAATACAGACAAAATGCCTTTAGGTTCTAGAATATTTGATCTAATTAGCACGAAGGTGAAGGTGTGTTGGTTTTATCTTCAATCAGATTTTACCACTTTAATTAATTTTCAACTCGATCAAAGATTTTTAATTGAGTATCGTGTAAACTATAACTAGTAGCAACATTCTAAAAATATACTGATAACATCCTGGCTGGCAAAAATTCCACATAAGTTTGATAAGCCTTAATTATATCTTCTATTTAGTCTCAGCCTATAAGCATAATAAATGTAATTTGCTTGAAAATTTCTCAATAATGCCTTGAAAATATTTTCTTCTACTTTGAAAGGTTTTATTATCAATAATTTCATTTTGGAAAGATCTCATATATGGAGGTATTTAAGTAAACTTTTACATGCAAGTCTTTTATATGCCAACAATAAAAATACTAGCTATTTTATTGAAGGGACAGAACAAATGCTGATGCATGCATTCAAATATTTGCTAAAAGTTTTTTTCAGTGATATTTTTCATTCATTTTTCATATTTTTCATCATTATAGGTATGTAGCTAATTTTTTTTGAGAACATCTAGAAAAATTAAGGGAGTGAACAAAAACTCAGTTACACGCATTGACTGGAAATCAAGAATATTCCTAAATCTTTCAGGAAAACACGCTTTGCTATTATCTATGTATGTAATTGAATCAAGTTTCGAATAAAAGTTTCGTGAACATTTTTTAAAAAAAGTTTGCAGCTTGGTTTGAAGTAACTTTGGTGTTGAAAAAAGATGATTTTGCGTTGAGGGGTAATTGAAACTCAACTTGAACATATACAGTGTGATTTTTTAAGTGTGCAACATATGAGGATTTTTTTTGGTAACAGCACAACCCAAATACAAACAAGGCCAAAAGTTGGTGCAGGTCTGATAATCATATTAGGTGCACTTAGAATGGTTGCAAGGCAAACAGCATACAGGGTAGCTCAAACAATATCAAAATTGTACTGTAAAGTACCCTTATTTTAGAAAATTCAGCAGAATGTTGTAGAGAAAAGTTGTTTGGAATTAAAAATTATGCCTAAATACCAAAACATAGCCTCCTAAGATTTTTTTTATTTTTTTTCGAAAAAAAATCTATAATTTGTATATTTTTTTTTATTTTTCATTTCCGCCCTTAATATTTTCAAAAATTAATTAAAATCAAATCAATTTTACATAACTTTGTTCAAATTCAAGCATATTTGTAAAATTAACTTAGATTTTTAATGTTTTATGGAATCACAAAATTCATGTTTGTTGCAATGATATTCAACACAACTTTAAAATGTCGCAATTTTTTTTTATCAAGTTAAAACATTACTAATGATAGTATGCATATTAAAAAAACTCTCCTTAAAGTGCAAAAGTTTTATTTTAAGTAAATATTACTGCAATTTTGATATTTTTTGAGCTACCCTGTATGCTGTTTGACTTGCAACCATTCTAAGATTTCTAAGTGCACCTAATATGATTATCAGACATGCACCAATTTTTGGCCTTGTTTGTATTTTGATTGTGCTATTACTAAAAAAAAACCCATATGTTGCACACTTAAATAATCACACTGTATACCTGTCTTCTTTGATATTAATAAGTCATTGTGATACATATGACATCAATTTGTATTTGATTCATCTTGTCATGTTTACTAAGCAAAGAGGGTTAAACC